CAAAAGCAGTTTTGTGTTTCTAATTATCAATGCTTTCGATCCCCATCACTTTTTGGTGGATTTGAAAAAAATCAATTTTCTTCAATTTTTCGCATTTTTTGTAAGGGGTAACATCATTAAAATTTGCAAAAAATGGCAAAAAAATAAAATATTTAAGCTGGAACGCCAATCGATTGGGAATTTGATTACGAGTTCAACGAGATATGCCATTCCACATTTGGGCCATTATTTCCAAAGTTTTGGCAATAAATCGAATAATTTGTTTGAGAAAAGTAAGAAAAACGTCTTTCGGCAAAAATGCAATGTTTTTGAAGGGTTTTTAAACATAGCTTGGCTAAAAATGGTCATACAGCGAAAACAAAAGCAGTTTTGTGTTGCTAATTATCAATGCTTTCGATCCCCATCACTTTTTGGAGGATTTGAAAAAAATCAATTTTCTTCAATTTTTCGCATTTTTTGTAAGGGGTAACATCATTAAAATTTGCAAAAAATGGCAAAAAAAAAAAATATTTAAGCTGGAACGCCAATCGATTGGGAATTTGATTACGAGTTCAACGAGATATGCCATTCCACATTTGGGCCATTATTTCCAAAGTTTTGGCAATAAATCGAATAATTTGTTTGAGAAAAGTAAGAAAAACGTCTTTCGGCAAAAATGCAATGTTTTTGAAGGGTTTTTAAACATAGCTTGGCTAAAAATGGTCATACAGCGAAAACAAAAGCAGTTTTGTGTTGCTAATTATCAATGCTTTCGATCCCCATCACTTTTTGGAGGATTTGAAAAAAATCAATTTTCTTCAATTTTTCGCATTTTTTGTAAGGGGTAAAAATTTGCAAAAAATGGCAAAAAAAAAAATATTTAAGCTGGAACGCCAATCGATTGGGAATTTGATTACGAGTTCAACGAGATATGCCATTCCACATTTGGGCCATTATTTCCAAAGTTTTGGCAATAAATCGAATAATTTGTTTGAGAAAAGTAAGAAAAACGTCTTTCGGCAAAAATGCAATGTTTTTGAAGGGGTTTTAAACATAGCTTGGCTAAAAATGGTCATGCAGCGAAAACAAAAGCAGTTTTGTGTTGCTAATTATCAATGCTTTCGATCCCCATCACTTTTTGGAGCATTTGAAAAAAATCAATTTTCTTCAATTTTTCGCATTTTTTGTAAGGGGTAACATCATTAAAATTTGCAAAAAATGGCAAAAAATAAAATATTTAAGCTGGAACGCCAATCGATTGGGAATTTGATTACGAGTTCAACGAGATATGCCATTCCACATTTGGGCCATTATTTCCAAAGTTTTGGCAATAAATCGAATAATTTGTTTGAGAAAAGTAAGAAAAACGTCTTTCGGCAAAAATGCAATGTTTTTGAAGGGTTTTTAAACATAGCTTGGCTAAAAATGGTCATACAGCGAAAACAAAAGCAGTTTTGTGTTGCTAATTATCAATGCTTTCGATCCCCATCACTTTTTGGAGGATTTGAAAAAAATCAATTTTCTTCAATTTTTCGCATTTTTTGTAAGGGGTAACATCATTAAAATTTGCAAAAAATGGCAAAAAAAAAAAATATTTAAGCTGGAACGCCAATCGATTGGGAATTTGATTACGAGTTCAACGAGATATGCCATTCCACATTTGGGCCATTATTTCCAAAGTTTTGGCAATAAATCGAATAATTTGTTTGAGAAAAGTAAGAAAAACGTCTTTCGGCAAAAATGCAATGTTTTTGAAGGGTTTTTAAACATAGCTTGGCTAAAAATGGTCATACAGCGAAAACAAAAGCAGTTTTGTGTTGCTAATTATCAATGCTTTCGATCCCCATCACTTTTTGGAGGATTTAAAAAAAATCAATTTTCTTCAATTTTTCGCATTTTTTGTAAGGGGTAACATCATTAAAATTTGCAAAAAATGGCAAAAAAATAAAATATTTAAACTGGAACGCCAATCGATTGGGAATTTGATTACGAGTTCAACAAGATATGCCATTCCACATTTGGGCCATTATTCCCAAAGTTTTGACAATAAATCGAATAATTTGTTTGAGAAAAGTAAGAAAAAAGTCTTTCGGCAAAAATGCAATGTTTTTGAAGGGTTTTTAGACATGGCTTGGCTAAAAATGGTCATGCAGCGAAAACAAAAGCAGTTTTGTGTTTCTAATTATCAATGCTTTCGATCCCCATCACTTTTTGGAGGATTTGAAAAAAATCAATTTTCTTCAATTTTTCGCATTTTTTGTAAGGGGTAACATCATTAAAATTTGCAAAAAATGGCAAAAAAATTAAATATTTAAACTGGACCGCCAATCGATTGGGAATTTGATTACGAGTTCAACGAGATATGCCATTCCATATTTGGACCACTATGTCCAATGTTTTGGCCATAAAATATCCTTTCTTTACCGAAAATATGTGAGAAAAACTAAAAATTTTCATTAAGGTTTAAATGTCAATTTTGACTATAGCAAAAGACCGAAATATGTTTATTTTCTTTTATCCACTTTTAAATATTCCCTTTGGTCAAACATTTTATGATCTATTAACTGCATTTTAAAATCTAGGTTACGACCATTATGAGTTCTGACCCGAAAGCAAGTAAACTGGCTTAGCAGACATAAGCCTTTTTTGCGGCCAAATTGGTGGCAGAAGTTTAATGGATCTCCAATACACACAGTGAGTGCCCTGTCCAGACCAGTCCATTCCATTCCAGCCACTCCAATTGATCCACCAGCTCTGTGGAGGCCGAGATTCGTGCCGAGACTGGAGAAGAATGGCCAGTCCACCGTTCGGTGCGGATCGGTTCGCGACTTAATCTGGCGCGATCGTTTTCCATCAAAGGGTTCCTGCTCACATGCAACTAATCTGATTGTAATTGATGCATGCTAGAGAACGTGAATGCGAATGTGGATCCGAATGCGGGGCCCAAGGTGGCTCCACACGCAAAATGCAGAAGGTTCGCTTCGATCTCGTAAAGGCAACTTGGTAGCCAATTATTCAAACGCGAGGATAAGAAAGCAAATAAATTGACTGCAAGCTACATGGGCTTTCGGGCGGGAATCAAAAATGCATATGCACTTACTGCCCACATGCATAATGTGCCCCTGTGTGTGCCGATGTGCCGATGTGCTGCTGTAAAGTTTAAAATATTGTGATTATCCTTGCATTAACTGCGCCTCATCCAAAAAATGTCGAACGAAATTTCGCATTAAGCTCACGCAAATTCCACGCCATTTTCGTGAGCGCCCCAACCATCGGCCACCGGTGCGGATGTGGTATCGATATCCCTCAATTCCTCGGCTAATTTCAGGCCCGTTTCCATTGTCAATCATATGCTGGAAGATGTCAGTCATCCTGCGCTGCACTTTGGGCTCGGCGGTGCATTGAACTTGTCAGTAATATTTATATCGCCCTCTCAATGCGATCTTAAGCAGTAATTCGCAATAGTCCTTTTCGGAAACCTCTTTGCTTGAAGGATAAACTTGCGAAAATGGTACTTTAACATCCCATATTCAAGGACATTCAAGATCAAAGTAGTTGAATCTTTCGAAGCAGGATTAATACTAGTCTAACTAGTTTTGCATTGCTCGTTCTCATTATATTTATATGCACCTATAGATCCAAGCTCAATAACATTTATTTGCGGCTTTGCATTCGCATAGAGCGCATTCTACCTCCTGGTGGAGAAACAATACCTGTCCATGGGTATGGCCACTTATTTTGGGCACTTGTGTGATGTGTGCTGTGTGCTGGTCCTAGTACCGCGATCGAATCCGCATCGGATCGTGCGGGTTACGAGGCGACACAATATTGACAGCGGCTGGATCCGTCGATATGCCCAGGGGATTGCTCGGGTAATTTAATCCTCGCCCAGAACCAGAATGCCACGAAGATGTCCACAAAACGCTGCGCACCACACATGCAATGCGAAATGCGAAAATGCGAGTTGCGAGTTGCGGGCTGCGAGTTGCGGGCTGCGAGTTGCGAGTTGCGAAATGCGGAGCAAAACATGCATACAGATCACGGCTGGCAGGCCGGATGGTCGACATGGACATGGACATGGATGTGGATGTGGATGCCGATGCCTGGGAGCACTGTCAGTCGCCTAATCATCGTAATAATTCGCCTCAACTTCACCCGATGGCAGCGGCAATGGGAAGCCAAGCGGAAATTACCAACACGCGATATTTAATTTTTCCAAAAGGTGAACCAATAATTCGTCTTCATGCCGCTGGATGGCCATCCGTGGCGGCTGCTCTTTCTGCTCCTTCTGCTCCTTCTCTGGCTACTCTGGTTACTCTTGCTCTTGCTCTTGCTCCTCTGGCCATGGTGCCATTTTTTCGTGTTCGGCTTGACCGATGCCTCTGAAAACGCTGTCCAGGCCAGGAGCAGGGGACTAGGAGGAGCACTCATTAACGCACAGCCCAGATGCCAGGAGCCCAACTCCCCTGCTGACTGCTGACCTCCATCTATGGCACCTATAATGATGCTGCCACTCCAGCATATATGGAATATAGAATCCACTCCGGCACCTCGGTAAACAACAAGTATTCATTTACATGCGGAAATGCAATTATTCGTATAATAATATATGGGAAAAACCTAAGCAAGGGTCCTTTAGTTAAAAAAGCTTTTCTGCGTCATGGAACTTCAAAAGTAGCTCAAATTTTCTGCCTTAGGATATAGAGTTTCACTTGTTTCAAGTGTAAAGTTTCAACCGAGTAGATTCAATAGAATTGTGTTTAATTTGCATAGTGAATCAAAAAGTAGTTTAATGAAAGTTGATTCAGAAATTTGATTAAAAGTTGCGCACTTTTTGTTATTCTTGAAAATGCCAGAGAGTATCAAAGTATTAAAAACAAGGAATTCATATAGTTTGGTTACAGTCAAAAGCTTTAGTTCTTAACAAATTCCCGTTTTTCGATAGAAAAGACTTTGATTTTCAGCGGATGTAGAAGATTGACCCATTTTTCTACCCGCTGAAAGAGAAACCCCATCAAGTATGGAAATGCTTGTTAATTTTATTTTGTTTTGTTAATAAATATTTATTCGTTTCATTAGTAATTAGTTTATATGCTTATCAAGAGTTACGCAGATTACACAGTACGAAAACAAATCGATTGGAATGGCTGACAAAATGCGCCAACTAATTAAGCTACTTAACACAATTAGTATTTGTTATTATACGTGTAGATGAATTGAATTTGGCTTTCAAACAAGTAGTCACACAGTCGATATTCCTAGTTAATACTAGCTATAGTATGCTGATCTATTAATACCTGTTGCATTGATATTAATACGTTAATTGATAAGTACAAATGGCATTTGCATTGCGAAATGATTCGAGTCTCATTAATGCTAAAGGTGGCTAATAACAATAAAAATGGAGGTATTTACACTATGAGCTACAACTACATGCTATGCTATTGTGTAGGGCGTCTACTGTTCGGCGTCGCTGGACCCGATGCTCTTGTCCGGAGTGTGGGATCTGCTGGACGCCTTGGAGGCGCAGGAGCGCACGGACAGATCCTCCGGCTCGCTGTCGCAGTAGCTTTCGTTGGAGGCCTCACTGTGGGCCAGTGGACTTAGGCGCTTCAGCAGCGCCTCGTTGAATGGATATGTCTCGAGGTCCGGCTCCGATCCGCCGCTGGGCATTTGGTTGGGATTGTAGCTGGGTGCACCTGGTCCTCCGCCGCCGGGCTGCATGGAGGCTGCGGCCGCGGCGAAGGCCAGGAAGTTCAAGCTGGCATTGAAGAGCTTGCACCAGTCCAGCAGAGCCGCTCCCTGGTTGTCGGTTCCAGTGGGAGGGGCGTTTGCCGGAGTCCCAGGTGCTATCACAGGCGCTAGATCCGCAGGATTCGGGAAGGGGGCAGGCAGTAGGGGCATTGTGGTGTCCGGAAACATGGGTGTCTTCGCCTGCTCCGTGGCAAGAGCTTGTGGTGCGGCACTGTTGGCCTCCAGGGCATTGTTGTTCTTATCGTTCACTTGCTCCGGCTGATTGGATGTGGTCACCCGCTTGGCCGGATCCTTGGCCCAGTTCTTAACACTCAGCAAGGGGTAATTGTTTTTGCTGTAATCGTCGGAGGCTGCGGGCGAATCAACCACTTTGTTGTCCTCGGATTTGGGTTGTGCATCCACCAGGACATCGGCAGTCTGGGGTGTGAGCTTGGAGTTGAGCAGGGCCAGGAGATTCAGCTGGTGCAGCATGTTGTTGGAGTAGTCCATCACGCCGGCCTGACCCGGATGCACTGCACCCTCCGGATGCAAGCCGCCGTTCTTTTTCACAAATTCCACAAGGCTCAGTTTCTCCAGCAGGGATTCGTTTTGCACTGGGTAATCGGCTGGACTGTAGGGCAGTGCTCCGAAGCCCAGCTCCTCGTAGTTTGGTGGCAGTGCCACGAACTTCGGTGGCAGCTGGAGCTGCAGCTCGAACTTGCCACGCTTTTCCGGTGGCGTATCGAGTCCCAGGTGATCGGGGCCCAGTTGGCGGCACATGAAGCGCAGCTTCTGCTCGTTCTTGCACCAGCCACGCAGCGTGGACTCCGGCACGCCGATATCCCGCGACACACTGGCCTTGGTTTCACCATTGTGGATGCGCTGGATGGCTCGCACCTTGTCATTGGGCGTGAGATTCCTCAGGGGACGCTTGCCGCGCGTGCTCATCCGGATGTTCATGTGCTGGTAGGCGGAGATATCCATGGTTCTATTACTGGTTGCGCTGGCGTAGGCGATGGCGATGGTGATGGCGATTGCGATTGCGATTACGATAGCGGTTTCGAAGCGCGGACTTTGCGGATGCGAATGCGACCACCGGTGTGCACTCCTCGAACTCGCAGAAGGATGTGATTGTGAATCCGATTCCGCGAAAGGCGAGCTGCGAACTGCGAAGTGCGAACGGCGACAGGCGAACGGCGACCGCCGAGATGAGCCGATGATTTTGCGGCGAAGAGAACGGCGTGCCGTTGTTTTCAACTCGACCAATCGAGAAAGGCGCCACTCTCACCTTTCTCTCTCTCTCGCTCTCTCTATCTCTCCCCACCACCACCACCAGTGCAACAACTTGTTACTCATGTCCCGCTCACGAAATTCGCTCTACTCGGTTCTCTTAACGGTATGATGTCCTGACCATCATCCGCGTCCCTCTTCGCGGCCCGCGTATGTGTGTGTGTGTGTGGTGGTGGTGGTGGTGTGGATCTAGATATGCAGCATGCTGGATGCATATTTCCGAATCGTCTCCTGCACGTGGCTGTGTGAGTGTGTGTGTGTGAGTGCTCGTGTGTTTATATAAAAACCAGTTATTTACCTCCCATAAACATTCCCTCCTGCGAGAGTGTGTGTTTGGCCAACCTTCTCGCATCCGCATCCGCATGTGCGTGAGCGGATCTGATACGGACGTGGACCTGGTTGCACTTTTGGGTCGCGAATCTACCGAGAATAACACAATTTCACTTTGGATTATTTGCACTCTCTATCTGTGTGTTTGCACTAAATTCCATGAGTACTCTTTGTCCGCTATTTATGGTAAATATTTTCAGTGCACCCTTATCTTGTGCATAAAATAGAAAATATATATATGGCCAAAAAAGTGATCACACTAACATGGCTGTGCACAACTTTTGCCTTTTCCTTAGAACTTAGTGAAGCAAAAGTGTTCATTGAACCAATATATACAAATATCTAAAAGAATAGCACCTACCTTATCTGAAGAATTTGCATTGTTATTTGCTGATGGTTACTTGCACACAAAATTATTATAAATATATATTTTCGTTCACTGCTAATTATTTGACTACAACTGTATACAATCGTACATAACACCTTTGTAGAAACACGTTTGGAATAAATATGATCCAAAAAACACTATTCTAGTTCTTTAATTGCAAGTGTATTAAAATTAGTCTTAGGGAATCCCGGATTTTATTACTGATATAAAAATTAATACGTCTGCGTCGTCCACTAAAGAAAAACTAATGAAAGCTTTCAGATTACGGAAAATATCAGCACCCTAGAAGAAGAATTGCAATAAAAGCTCTCTGCCTGGTAAATATACCAAATTATATTATCAATTTAAAAAAATTCTTTAGTAGCAGTAAAAATTCCAATAGACAAAATTAAGGATATTGTCATTGAGTAAAATCACACATCGCTTTTTTTAATACTTTTTTTATTGTGTTATTAAAAGACACATTTTAGAAAGTAAGTAGCCTTTAGTATTTATGTTTGATTTACACATATTTAAATAAATTGTCTATTAACTATAATTTATTAGATTACATCTACTGGTATTGATTAATTTCCGTGTTGCTGTATGTTATAACTTTATCATTATTTATTATTAAACAGTTTTTCCTTCATGTTTATTTGTCACAAAATTGTATTTTAAAATGAAAGGATTGTTTTAAATAAAATATGCAACGCAAGCAGACTCAAATCGTAATTATCAAGTAAAATTAAACATTTGTCGAAATACCGCTTTGAGATACTCTTACAGATAAATAAAATCAATAAAAATAAGTGCACATTTAATGAAAAAATCAGATTGCATACGATTTATAAGTATTTGCTGTATAAATATGAGGAAACGGTATTTATTTTAAGTCTCAATTTATACATACATACAAATTTAAATATATACATAACCTATGTTGGCAGTTAGCCCTTACATTTTGTACATACACTTTATTGTTATTATATACATAATTTGTTTCAGTCGAAGGCTTATTAAACTAATTCTGAACGCATACGTCAAATGCACATACCCATATATGTATATATCTTAATACATACTGCATGCCTTACCTTAACTTTAAAATAAAAAGAGATAACTATTCGGGGGCTTCAATTGGAATACATGCAATAATTGCAAACAATTTAATGTGTTTAATGAAATGCAACTATTTTCGGTAAATAATATGTACTCTTGGGCAACAAATGAAATATCTGATGGGTGCGGATATTATGGAATCTTCGCTTGCAGTGCCTTCAGCAATATACGAGTATATTCTGTAACTTAGTGTAAGTCTTAAGTAACTTATTGTACCATTCATTAAAATTCGAATAATGATCACCGATATTTGTAAAATTAGAAAACAATTTTGGTTATTGGAATGCCATATGAAGTTGACTGTGAGTATGAAGATTCCGTTTGCTAAAAAGTTACTTGTGAGTATATTTATGGAAATTGATCAACAATTCGTGAATATATGCGTGAACTTTATTCAACACCCCTTAACTTAAATTTACTTTATCGTTAGTAACAAATGTTAATAGCTTATAGATAATGATCCCATTTGCCCAATGCAACGACCTCCCTCTTCATCGAAGGTGGCCAAAGTTAATCGAGACAGCTTATTGCATAAGACTCCATTTCCATTATTTTGAATAGGATTTGGCTCTGAAAATGGGAATTGTTTATCAAATGGTATAACTCATTTCATAGGAGTTCTAAGACATGTAGCTTACCATCGTGAAAAGGTTCTTGAGTGGTGCCCTCCTGCTTTTTGTTTCTGATTTGTTCCGTAAAATGTGATATAAGTGCGTCTATCATGGCAGCTTGCTTCGAAAATATTTGCATCAGTTTGGACACTTGTATTCCGTTCTCGACAGCATCGAACTGCAAAATAAATGATTCTACAAGCTTGTTTTTATAACGCCGAAAATGCGAAATACCTGCAGGAAGATGCAAGTGAGGCATTCGGGATCATCACTTGCACTTGGCTTTGCGTAATCCCAAGACAAATCCTCGTATCGCAATCCCAGCAAGAGGGTCTGCAGCGAAAATGATGGTTCATTTAAGGTGGGGATTATAACTATAAGCTACACTATGATATAACTTACACATTCGTACGGATCTATTACGAAAACCCCTCTCTCATTGACAGCGACCAAAACCTCCATGTCCTTCTGGTTGACCAATGCCATAATGCCCCTAACAGGTTGTTCTATTTGACCATGAAAATAGGCGGCGCTGCAAGCATGTATTAAAAAATCATTAGTTATTGAATATTTATTAGAAGTATTATGCATACCCATAGAATGGCAGAGCCCAGCAGAATTCCAGGTATTTCCTCATCAACTTTCGGGTGGTGGCAGTCTGGGGCACCCGCTTGAACTGCTCCAGAAGCTTCACCTCCGCGGAGTTCTTCTGGCTGATGGGTAGCCACAGCCAAGTGGAGCTCTTGGCCACGTGAGGGGGCAAAAACCTGGCTTGGTTCTCCCTAAATTGTGGAGGTAGCCTACAAAGTTAGTACCTAGCGTGTTCTACTAGTTTATAACACTTGCCGAAAGAATCCTATTGTATGGGTGTGGGAGTTGTAAGGACCCAGTTCGATGCGCGCTTGAATGCCACCCAACATGAGCGAGTGCACGGGCTCCATGATATACCTGCCTGTAAGCACATTGTTTCTGGCCTCTTCATAGAGGAGCTCCAGGATGCGATGGTCCCTGAAAATAGTATGATAAGATCAAGTTAAAGTGGGTTAATCTGGCTGCTACTGAAGGGTATTACTTTATTTTCTCCTCGTCTCGCTTGGAGAAGAACACGTTCCGCTTCAGAACGATCATGGGCTCATCGAACTTTCGATCACTGGGACTGCTGTTGCTGAACTTCTGGAGCAGATTGGGCCACGCGACTCGCACTATGTAGGGGCAGTGGTGGGCCTTCAGCTGCATCTCCAGTAAAGCACTTGTCATCCACAATCCGAACACGCTCTGTGCCAGCAGCTTGTTGGATATGCCCAGCTCCTCGCATCCCAAGGCAGCTGCCAGCATCACCTGCGATGGACACTGGGCAGTGCCCTCGATCTCCATGTGCACCGCCACCCGGGACATAAGATACACGCATGTGGGGATTACCTATGGAGTAAGGAATTCCATTGAAATCCCTGAAAATGGAAGGATTGTGGCGGTATCTTACATTTTGGAGAGCACGGGTTAGATTGGAAGCAGCTTTGCCGGCAGTCGCGAAATTCGAAGTTGAGCTGGTGGCCATGAGGCGTTTTTGGATTGCGGGATTGGATTGGGCATCGTTGCCGTTGTTGCACTTGTGATGTTGTGGCATGAATGAAGAATTGGTGAGCACTCCTAAATGGTCATGGAAGAACAAACACCATGATACTCAACTTAGTTTCTCTTACGAACAAAAAAGTTTCAAAATATAAACAACATAGTTTCTAGATGGATCTAGTGATCTGGCGAGCTCTTACCGGATGGGCTCCGGAGGTCGGAAAGGGGACAAAGTGCACTTGCATTGCTCATCATGTTGGCGCCCATGTCGGGTAGTCCGCCCAAACAGGGAGCATTTCCAGCGGCGGCCATGGCGGAGGACACCTGGGCCGGCGACAGGCAGTCGCCATCATTCTGACCCGTGCTGACCACACTGGACACACTGGCCGATGAGGCGAAGGTGCTGCCCACCGCCGTTTGGATCTGAGCTGTGGTCACCACACGGTGCACGGTGTACATGATTGGGGGTACCGGCATATTCACCGAGCCCATGGACACGGGCACCTGCTGGTCGCACGTGACCACACCGGATGGGTTCTGATGGGTTTGTGTGGCTGCCACGCGTCCACTTCCGGTGCCGCTGCCGCCGGCGCTCGGGAAGATCGCACAGTTGTCAAAGGCATCTGGTGGATCGGCCACCGGGCCCTGTAATTGGGGCAACTGATGGATTGGTTCTGGGTGGCTCAGTTGGTGGTTGTGCTGCAGCGACTGCTGGATGTGGAGAAAGTTGGCCTGTTGCTGCTGCTGGTGCAGATGTTGCTGGTGTTGCTGATGCTGCTGCTGATGCTGCTGCTGATGCTGCTGCTGATGCTGCTGATGCTGCTGCTGCTGATGCTGCTGCTGATGCTGCTGATGTTGGTGCTGATGCGGCTGCTGGTGCAGGTGCTGCTGTTGCGGTTGATGAGCTTGGTGCTGCGGTATAGCTGCTGCGGCATTGTTGGCTATGTAGTAATCATCGCGACACTTCACATCCGCAGTGTTGTAATATAAATGCGATCTGAAAGGTATTCATGGATATTAGTTGCACAAATTGGTTATGTTCGTATGGTAAACGCACTCATAGTCTTGAGTAGATAGCTTTTTTCGATTATACTGCAGTGTTCCCAGTGGAACGGTCATTATGTTGATATAGTTCCCAGCGTTGGCAGTATTCTTGCTGCATTGGCCACTGTTGCTGCAAACAGATCCTCCATACGGACTGCCCATGTTGCCATTCCCGCCCAGCGTTTTGCTGTTCCCACTGCGCGGCACCAAATCCTTGGAGCTGTAGCCCGATTGCGATTGGCCGGAGCTACATGTCACATAATCCTGGCCAGCGTTCATCCCATAGTTGAGTTTGTTCGCCGCATGTTGGGGAATGGAAGTCGAGGGATTCTGCTGCATGGCGCTCCGGCAGTAATAATGATTTGGCTCCATGTTCTTCAAATTCAAATAATATCATAGGATAAGTCGGTTTATAAATGTGCACCTTACATATTAATATGTGTTTTATTTAAGAAACGTGTGCATATGCATGCATTTAATGTATGTTAACTGAATCTTACCGCTGTTTCTGGTATATCTGCTGCTAACAAATATGATTAGTTACTGTCGACGCCTTTTTGGGGTTCGCTTGAGCAATCAGGATAGCCCTCATTTTAACTGGCAGTTGCGAATAGTTCTCAAAAGTCCATCATAAGCAAGATATTAGCTTTCAGTTGGCATTTCTGAAACGTAAATTAATTAAGAAGGCTTATTTCCTTTGTTTATTTTAACCTCAGAAATATATACGCATATTTAAGCTGGGGGATAGTAGACAGCATATCTTTGGGTGCAAATAGTTTGGTATAGGAACATAATTGACAAAGTCAAATATGTAATCATATATTTCATTTGCTCCTATTGTAAACCCTTTCTGTTTGGCTTGTCGGATAAACCAACAAAATGGTCCGCAGTTCTGATATTTGATTTTTCGAGCAGGTGCAATAGAGGGTATGCTGTATACACACATGCTCGCACATACCTACACGAAGGTCTGTATGTGCGAATGCGAATATGGGTACTTTTTTGTACGTCATGCTAGTTCTGGTGCTTGGAAGTATGTCAGCTGGGGCATAACTTGTAACTTTATAATTGGAGGCACGTAAACACTGTATGTTAATTCAGTTCAGTTCACATGGCTGAGAAAAAAGTCCTGCGTCCTTAATCAATACATGCCTTCATATGTATGCATACACACACTTACAGACACACACGCACATATCCTTCTAACTGGGTGGGACTTTGAAGGCCATAGTTTTTCACCGAACCATAGCCTCTTCACTTTAATTTTATTCCTTCGCAATGGTCTCCTTTCGTTGGGGAAGCACTCCGTCACTGCCCAAATGTATCTACATATCGCCGAAATGCTCCACAGCACACAAACGGATGGCTTGGAAAAAATGTGTTACACGAATTTCGCACGAAAGATACATTTTCCGCTGTATTGTCTTTTGTTGCGAGGAGCTCTGTGATTTGCTGGCTTCGGGCTTGTTTGCTTTTTCATCGGACTCCGCGAAGGACTTTATTTTTTCATTCAACTATTTTGGCCAGGCGCTCGTGTACATTTTTACAGTGGCGATTCACGTATCGAACGATGACGAGAAGTTTGCGAACTTTTTAGTACACAAAATGCCAAAACAGGCGACTTAGCACCAAAATATCTACTTATACAACACCACTTTCGAACACAGCCAACCGAAGTAAACAAACACATGCAAACTCGGGCCCCATATGAGGCGCATGCGCCCCAAAATCCCAGCTTAAAGTTCGCCCAGCAACAAGACTATCGATAAAAGCCAGTTTCAACCGTTAGCAAAATCAATATATATATCTTTTTGATAAGGAACCGAGTATATATTTAGTAGGGCAACATCAACTCCCAGTTCTGTATACATTCTCTTTTATTTTCATCAACTGGCATTACTTTTTTAAAGCATTTTTAACACTTCCTTAAGTTATGGCTCAACATTTTGCATATCTACTTATTTTTGATTTACTTATTTGTGATACTTCTGAAGTTGTGGGGCCGACAGCTTGACCTTTCCTGGGATATTCCTGGCCAACGACTCCTCCTTTATACTCTTCAGCAAGTCCTTCTCACGAGCACTGCAGCCTTTTTCCTTTGCGAAGATATTAAGTGCTAGTTTCGCCGCCTTTCCTCTCTTTCCCGTTCCTGGGGTGAGCTTTACTTTAAACCTAGAATGAAATACATTTAGAAGGAAACATATAGGAAATTAGCATATAGCTTACTTGTAGTTTTGCAAAGCCTGATAGGGCGCCACAACTGGAATCGCGAACAGCAGCTCATCTCCTTCGTGGGGCTGTCCAGTCAGACTATTGAGTACGTCCACATCTCCACCGACAGGCACATCATCAGCATCGTCCAGTTCGACTGGGTTTTTGGGAGCTGCACTTTTCTCTGGCTTTACGTACTCCTTAGTTGACTCACTTTTTTCCACCACTTTATCGGCGCTGGCCTGTGGCTTTTCTTTACCCGATGACTTGAGAATCATCATACGAATTTCCCGCTCCTCATCATCTTGATCTTTGTATTTCTGCTTCATTTTCTTCAGTTTTCCCTTCTGACCTCTCTTAACTTGGGATGGATTTTTGGGTTCGGTACTCACAGGAGCGACTTCCTGTTTGGCAGCCTCCTGTTTCGCCCGTGCCTTGTCTTCCTTGGTCTTTTTGGCACTTACTTGCTTCTTGCGACTTGGACCAGCCAAAATAATGGTCGTTTCTTCGTCGTCGGGTTTTTTCACAATTTTTTCTATGACAACTTCATTCTCTTTAGTCGCTTCGAGCTCTGGATTTAGGGAGTCGGATCTGACTATAATGCGACCAGTATCGTGCTCAATCTTAACTTCTGTATTGGGGAAAGCTGTAATTTCGGTATTGGAACTTGGTTCCGATAGATTTCCATTAAGATTTGCATCAGCGTCTTCATTATCTGACAAAAGGTCATGTTCAACTTCAGTTTCTTTAACATTTGGATCTATTTGATCATCATCCAGGTTTCGGACTTTACGCTCTCCCAAATGACGCTCAATAAAGCTATCCTCCAACTTAAAAAGTAAACTTAGACCCATGGTCAGGTGGCAGGAGGGTAGGAAGTTCTTCTTTCCTCTGATCATAAAGCTTCCCGTTGCCAAGTACTCTCCAGTTGGTGCAGTTTTGCTGACCTGATCGCTTGTTACCCAGTACGAGTTGGTAACCACTTTGGCATCCCAAGCAACACTGTATGAAATAGCCATGGATCCAGCCTCCAGCAACGTTTTCGGAGGTATTTCTTCTCCAGTGGGATTTTGAATTATAACACTCGAGGCACCTTGAATCTCAGCGTGGACATAGATGTCTTTCGGGCGCATATATCTGCAATAAGAACATTTTTTAGTTACAAAAACTACAATCTATAAAAGGAAGTCAGGTTATACCTCTTTACAATAAGTTCGTTCTGCTGTGCATCTCTTCCTCCAATAACCAAATAATTTTCAGAGCTGATGAACCAGTAAAACTTTTCAAACCAGAAAACTTTCCGTGCCTTAACTATGTTGGATATAGTCCGTACTTCCTTGAGTGTCTGCTGAGTCTTTCGCTCCGCTGACTTAAGAGCTTTTTGGGAAGCATCCACAGTTTTCTTTTCCTTTTGAGCAGCCGAACGTTTCATGTCGTAATAGCGCCGGGCATTGGCCCAAGCAGACAGAGCCAAATCGACATCCACCACAGTAAGCTCTGGAGCTTTAAGATCGTCATCTTCATCATTGTCATAAGGGTCACTGAGCATAAGTGATATATGATTAGTCTCCAGCTTAAGTTGCTTTATGGAACTTGCTACCGCATCGCCATTAGCCTGTGCCTCCTTTACAAGCTCATGAATATCCGGCCAGGATAATTGACTGGCGATAGCTGACTGAACAGCCCGAATCGCATTATCAACCAGACTTTGATTGGACGTAATAAGCTCTGCTTTCTTTCTGTCCACATCCTGGACTTTTGTCAACTCCTCTAGGCGCTTTGCGTGGTCATTCTTGACATTAGACAGCTTTTTTAGTGCCTCACGTTCTTGTTGCAGCGTCTTTATGTCAATCTTTTGTGACTCTTGCGTAGAGTAAAATTCATCAACAGCATCCATAAAGGACTCAAATGTGGCCTTTTCAAAGTTCTTGAATTGGATAAAGAGGTAGGGATGAAATTCGATGTTTTTAAAGAAAAATTCCACTTTTCCATTCTCCGTAGGCTTTTCTTCTTTCACTTGAATGATGTAGCCTTTACTTTTTCCACTACTTCCCTCAGTAATAAGCTCTTGAGCATCCTAAAAGATTACACAGAACAATTTGTTTACTTCTACATTCAATAATAAATTATTCCATGAAAGTGTTACCTTTACTGCCTGCTGAAGAATTGGCAGGTCTTTAATCATATCAAATGGCTTCTGTTCCAGTTTCGTATTCTGTTGCTTCTTACGTTGCTTTTTACCGCCTTTCTCCGGCTTGTCATCCGCCTCCGGTGTTTCTTCTGTTGCTTCCTTTTTGATCACGTGATTGTCCAAACCATGTGAGAGGAGAACATGCTCTATAACTGCCGGACCACAGTCCAAGTTGGGTGTTAGAATCTGTCGCAAATAATCGCCATTCCTAGCATTTTCCAACAGTTTAACTAGAGCCTCCGGTTCCAGTTCTTTCGTGGGCTGTTTGGCCCGTTCCACGGGATATTTTTCGCGCATAGCGAAGCGCAGATTCTCGCCCTCCGTATGCGGACGCAGAATATATAACGTGGTCAACTCGTAGTCGGTGAGGATAACATTACCGCGATCGTAGAGCTCCAAAATAACATGGTAGGCGGCATCGCCGGTACCAAACTGGAAGTCAACAATACGATCGCTGCCCAGCTGTTGAATCCTTTCCAAGCGCTTGTTCTTTAAGTGCTTCCTCAACTTCATGCTGAAACCAGACGGGGCCATGTTTTTGGGCCATTCGAACCTAGTGGTATGGAATCTAGTGCCAGATTCTATCAGCAGAGTGACCTTCTCCACCGCACCGGTCCCTTGCATCCGGAAGAGATACGTCTTGTTATCCACGTCATAGATCTGATTCACTCGCCAGCCGACCAGCCTAGAATGTAAATATAGATGTGCCATTATTCCTGGGCATCGGGAATATCTGATTTGTTACATACTTTTGCAGTTCAGCCACTCCGCAGATTATATCGAAGGTATTGAAACGTGTCTTCATGGTTCAAAATCGAAAGTTGACGATGTCAACACGGAAAGCAAACAAAAAATGAATCTATCTAGAAATTTAACTTATCATTAAGTATTCACAAGTTGGCTATCTACGTTAGATAAGTTGAATTCCTAACATAAAGTCGAACAAAAACAATTATATTCCCTTGCGAAATTAAGTATCGGTGTAAATAGCGATGGACGAACTTCAAATAAAATATATCGATGATATTTAAGAATCCGATGATTCTATGGATTCGAGTTTTTTTCATATTGTATCAAATATTTGTATTCTGACTAATAAAATAAGCAAGGAGCTCCTTTGATTTATATATTAATCTTTAAGCTATTAATCACTTAATTAAGTTTTAGTCAGCTGTTTCCCGTTCCCATTTTGTACCGATATGAAATCGAAAGCATAACTAATCGGAATGTGCAACTACCTTGTCATCGCTCGTCTTCATTTGTAAATATGAATGCGGATGGACCTGTTGTCAACGTGCACGTGTTGTTTTTTGCTAAATCCCGTGAATTAGCGAACACTCCCCGGTCGAAAGTGGATGTGCCCACTAAAATTACTGCCTCCGATTTGCTGGACCTACTGGTGTCCAGATTTGGCCTGATCTCCATTCGGGATAACTTGATTTTGGCCCACAACGAGTCGTATATTGATAACCTGAGTGACACAGTTCTGTTCAAGGAAGGTGACGAACTGGCCATCATACCGCCACTAAGTGGAGGCTAACAATTTCGCCATGGATCACGTTAAATTGGTAAACGACCCCATAGACATCGCCCATATCCACCAGTTGCTGGCCGATGCAGGCTGTGGAGCCTCGTCCGTTTTCGTGGGCACTACGCGCGATAATTTTCAGGGGAAAAAGGTGGGTTCACTATCTCAGTTAATTGATTCCATTGGCTTATTTGTACTTTTCAACCTTCCAGGTGGTGTCATTGGCGTACGAGGCCTACGATAGCATGGCACTCAAGGAAATGAATAAAATCTGTTTAGATCTTCGATCTAAGTGGCCCGATCTAAAGCACATAGTCATATATCATCGATTGGGAACAGTGCCCGTTTGCGAAGCCAGTGTAGTCATAGCCGCGTCGTCACCACACCGATCGGAGGCCTTAGAATCAGTATCTTTTGCAATAGACCAGCTAAAAACTAGGGTTCCCATCTGGAAAAAGGAGATTTACGAGGGCGATCACGTCAGCGAATGGAAGGAAAACAAGGAGTCCATCAGGCCCAGTAAGACCTTATGAGTAACCATCATGACATGTATTCTTATTATTTGTATACTTGTAAATATATTTAACAATCGAGCTATTACTATCTTATTGGTTTCCCGTGCATGTACATTGCAGAGAGATCGAAAAGTGCCTTCAATTATGCAGCTTGTCCCTGCAAAGTGGAGGAGTCACATGACGTCCCACGAACTCTAGTGCAAATTAGAGTTAATGACGCTGAGTTAACCAAGCGTTTAGAATGTTTTGTCAACAGAAAACGAGACGAAATAAACTCACAAAATGTAATTGACTTCAAATCGTCTTTTGTTAACTCAGACATAGACTTGAGCGATTCCTGCGCTCGAACGCAGAGCACAATTATCAAACAGGAGCAGTCAAATTGCCATTTAAAAGGTGGGTAAACGATTCTCCATTTTCATAATTATAGCCACTTTGCTCTACAAACAACTTATCACAGTTCGACGAGTAAACAATCGCTGCGGACCTCAGCAAATGGAAATGCGACCCAACTACGAACTCGAATTGAATAAACTAATGGGATCGCGTGACGGCCAAACGGACCCGTTCAAAGAAATGAGGAAATCGCTACCCAATTCGCGACTACAGGCAATTGAATCGTACATGTGCCTAACCACCGACAACGAGGAAAACATTTTCAGTAGAATCAAAAAGGTGGAAAATAGACTTCTGCAGCTGGAGTCCATTTCCCCCGAGTACAGACACTTCGTAGGTTCCTAAAACATTTCCATTTAACATTAAAACATTGTAATTCTATAAAAACTCAATCTATTCCCAGACAAAACTTGAACCGTCTTCTATGGAACTCCCGCCGCCGAAAAAGATTCGAAAGAAATCGTACTCGGTCCCAGAATTAAGTGCGTTCATTCAAAAGATTAAGGAAGGCAGCGAATTTGCCTAATAAAACCTTTTGGCAAAAAAATGGTTATAAGCGTAATTATTATTCCTTGGTTTGTAAATGAAGTAAATTTATTTCAACATTCCAACTATTTGTAATAGTTATTTTAAATGCGTAAATGATGAGAGTGAAAAATTCAAAAATTTTTGTTTATAACTAAGGAATATGGATAAGCGTGGCTGATTTGTTTGTTTGTTAATCGGTCGTCAAGCTTCATAGATTACGCCCGAAAATCTAATGGTTATTCGTTAACCGAAGGACCAGCTTACTAATTATGTAATACGTGAAATTGTTAAACCTTATTGTTCTTCTCAACTCCTAGCACAGAGTAGGGAATTGAGCTTCATCGTCAACCTTCAGTGGCTTCTGGGCGGAGCGGCGCTTCTCTCCAAATCTGTTGTTTTCCTGTCTGTTTTCATAGCCGTTGCTGGGTCCGTTGTTGAAGCGAGGACCACGGAATCCCTCTCCACGAGGTCCCTCATTGCGGTAGCCTTCTCCACGGGGTACCTCACTGCGAGGACCCTCTCCGCGAGGTCCATCGTTGCGATAGCCACCCTCTCCACGAGGTCCGTCATTGCGGAAGCCACCTTCGCCGCGGAAGCCACCCTCGCCGCGGAAGCCACCCTCGCCGCGGAAGCCACCCTCGCCGCGGAATCCCTCTCCACGAGGACCGGCTCCGGGACGCGGTCCCTTGCGGGAACCGCCCTTTCGACCATCATTGAAGTTGAACTGGATGTCCACGATGCGCTGAAGGCGACCCACGCGCTGAGGATACAGCGATGGATCGTACTCCAACTCGTCCTCGCTGTTGCTCTCCTTCTTCTTGCTCAGTACCACCATCTTCTTCCACTCCGCATTGTCGACGGCTCCTTCGCCTGCTTTACGCAAGTTGTAGTTGGGCTTGGCACGCTGGTCTCTTAGAGCCTTCCACTCGTCGAGGGTCATCTGCTTGGACTCATCCTCCTCGGCCGCGACCGCGGGATCAGCCGACTGTTCGTTGGCCGAGTCCTCTTTTTCCGCCTGCGGTGACGTCTCCCCGGTCGTCTTTAAGTCCTCAATGTCCTGCTTCGGGGAACCCCAGTTGTGGGCACCACCGCCTTCGCGTTTGTCAATCGACTTGACGCCTGTGGAGAATAAATCAATTATTATTAGGGTCCAATTGATATGAAAGAGTACAAGGATTTTCAGAACAATTGACATGTTAACTTATCGAATTTTGTATTCGATAATAATTAATTAATTATTCGGTCATAATAATTAATTACAAATTATTAGACCTAAAATAATATTCCAGAAAACACATGTGTTAACAAATGCAATGCAGCAATTTCATACCACAAATAGTGTTTTGAAAATTAATATTTACAAACACGTTTTTAAATTCGACAAATGTTGCCGTCAATGCTCGAAAGTCACGTGAGAAATATGTGCTGAATTAAGCGATATGTAATCTTGTTGCCATGGGTTCCATTTTCACTATATTTTACAGCATGTCGCCATTGCAGACTAGCATATTCCACTCAGGAAAATCGAGAACTGAGCTCTTTTTAACCCACTTGAGGAGCAAACACGAGAACAAAGAACAGAATCTAGGCATAATTACCGGTTTTATCGGATCCAGATTGGCGATCGAACTCGCGCTTTCCGAACTTCTCGCCGGTACGGGCGCGTGGTGGTCCCCTGTTATCACGATTGTTGAACTGGCGCTGCGGCAGCTCGTTTCCGAATTCCCCGGTCGATTCCTTGTTTCCGTAGCGCTGGTTGTTGTTGTTGTTATGGTTGTTGAACCTGCCCTGGTTGTTGGCACCGTTTGTGGCTGCGTTCCTGGGACGGCTCACATCACCGCCAGCGGGACCCTTGCCACCCTTCACTGGACTCACGTTCTTGACCGCCGGAGCGTTGGCCTTGCGGGCCGAAGTTACCGGCTTGTTCTCCTTCTCTGACTTGCCCTTTGGCGCCTTCGCCGGTTCCGGCTTCTTGGGCGCCGCGACTACGGCAGGAATCTGTGGCTGGGCGGGAGCGGCGGAGGAGTCATCGTCGTCCATGAACAACAGCTCGTAGCGGTTATTTCCAGAATTGTCCATGATGTAAAATTTCTACGAATTAAAAGTGAACCAGATTTGGGGGTTACTTTGGTTTCGGTGGAAACGATATGCTTTGCTGTTAACTTATTGGCACATGGCCGGCCTAGTGCTCAATCGTAGTGATAATTGGTTAAAATTGCGAAAACGCGGAGCAAATTACGCACCTCGCCGGAAACGAAAGTGAAGGTAGAAACATCGATGGCAGGACCATCGGGGCATCGATGGGTTCCTTTTTTCAGTATTTCGATTGCATGCCCTGGTTATCGATATGAGTATATATCTGTAGGACTTGAAACAAATTATTTAAGTATATGCGGAGCAAAATATTTATTGTTGATTCTAAAAGGATTCGACTGCGCGGATAAGTTGTCTGATTAAGTTTGACCTAGATTTGCATCCGAAAATGAAAGACAATATTAAATAAACAATAATGTATAGTTAAATAAGTTTATTAACAGTTACCTTAAATAATAAATTTAAACTATGTATATTTCTAATATAACTTATATTAATATGTATTGCCGATAGATACCGGATTGTAAGTAACAGGCAGTGGATAATAAATATCAGTTTTGGTTTCAGGTAAAACGTGAAAGTCAATTATTGCCATCAAATATAGGTTTGATAGTTTTAGTAATTCAATTTATGGAACAATACATTTTAATTGTCTTGCTATTTAAATGAAATACAGAGTTAAATTATTGTTGAGCCCCCGATTATATCGCATAAAAATACCGAAATGTGCTCAATTGATGTATCGATTGCAGGCCGAGGTTTCGTCCAGCTCTATCAGTCGGCCCATCGCCATAACGAGAACAACTTTTGGGCCCGTAGAGACAAATGTGACATTTGTTTCTTTGATGCGTTGCCATCGAAATTCTCTGTCCTCTTCGGCCTAATGCAAGTAATAAATTCAAGTAAAAGCAAATTGTCCTTGTAATCGAAAGCGAGTACATCGTGAATTTTGGCCATTGCGTACCGAACCGCGAAAGAGCAGACGAGGGACAGAACGACAGTCAAGCGAATTGGAATATTGGAAGCGAAGAAGAGGAGAGGGATCTCGAGCACCCATTAGCCCCCATCCACATTCACGTCCAACGGGCCCCCAAGTATTCGCAAGTGGTAAAAGGGCCGCGTTTGCGTTTCGCCGGTGAGTCCCCAAATAAGAATGCAATCCACACACATCCGTTTTGATATTTATAAGTTATTCATAAGTTTAGGTTTAAGTGCGTGTGTTCCAGTTGGTTTCCCCATTTCCTCATGTGAACGCGGGACATGCATCAACAAAAAAATCAATATCTTCGCCTGCTATATGCAGTTTTTGTGATTTTTGTTGTTTTTTTTGTTTTTTTGTTTTGGAGCTCGGGGCTTCCACTGTTCTCTAAATGGACTTTACCTTGACCTCTTTGACTGCGCAAAACGGCATTTGGCACCCCGAAAGTTTTTAAGTAAAAAAAACAATTTGCTTTAAAAAACTTGGCAAAAATATCGTGATGTCATTTCTGACTTTTTTGCCCACCTTTTTTGGAGTTCTGTCGCACGGAAATCGACCATATTATCATATTCGGTCAGGCAATGGGGCTCCAATTGCTTTTATGCATATGTCGATTCTTGGTTTCTATCCGAGTTTTTCCGGGGGTGGTTCCTACCCCTTCTCACAGATATCGTCTGGCCTAACAGTTATTTTTGCACCCTCAGTAGGTATGTACCTTACATGGTAGCATATCAAAAATGGAAACAAGTGATGTGAAACATTTCATACTCTTTGGTATAAATGTAAAACGGACCTTGGATTTCAAGCAGTCAAAATGGGATGCATTCACATAAAGCCTTCTACTAAACGAAAAAAGCACTTGTTCTGCAAAATTACTTGGCATGCAGTTGACTGATCTCAACCGTCAGCAAGAATTAAGCCAATTGGACAGATACTTTTTAAGGAATGTGTATTTGAATACAAATGCAAAGATGTTTTAATTAATATGTGTTATTTATGAGCTCAAAGCATTGCACTAATATCATATTTTAACTTTCTACGGAAGTGGAAGCAAGATACGAACCATGTCGCTGAAGTCGCCAATCTTTTTCAATAAAAAACATTTAATGTTTTGTTCAAGATTGTCTTCAGCTAAGATACTAATATTTTGAGATTTACTATGCCTTATTTTCCTTTTATGAAATAATTATGCCAAATCTAAATAATAAATATTGGCTGTAGGGAACATTTTGGAGCTCTAAAAAAATAAAATATCAACACCTTTTTTTGAAATTAGATGAGTTATATATTGACTCTACCCTCGCATAGTATGCTTAATTCAAGCAAATACAACACACACCCTCCTCTATGAATACGTAACTCTTCAATTAAATTCAATGCTTTTCATAACCGCGTTACGAAACTGTCATTGTATTCCAATAAGTTCCACTAGTTATGATATAGTGCTCTATTGCTGGCTCATAATTCTGGCGCATGTAGTTATAGAATTGTATTGCTACAATGTTATTACAGTATTTAGTTGCCTACATTTTGTGTCAATCGAAGGAAATACTCGTCTTGAAAGGCCAGGATTGTTTGATTTCTATAAATGCAATCGCATATTCCTAAATTTAAACGACTTTTCGAATTCGAACTGGTTGCCGTAGGCTAAGAACTTAGTATTTAATGATTTCGTAGATCAATAGAAATTCTGCTTAATAATGTAAGACTAATTTTTTGTTACTACTCCTTAAATTTTATATAAAAAACATTTTTTCCTTCAATTTTATAGCATCTCAATATCTGAAATCAAAAGAAAAATTCAATTTATATCAAACCGAAAGAAAAATCAATTTTCTCCGAGCCACACAAAATTAATTGATGTTTAAAGGTATTGCAACCACAAAATGAATACCAAAAACATTGAAAACAAACCCATGGATGGTACAAAATTTCTTGATATGTTGTCAACAATATCATTGCAGGAAATATTACAATTTGAGTTTCGTCTCAATCCAACAAGCAAATGGGAAACATTGGTAGTAGCCCCAGAAAGTCCGCTTAGGAAATACAATTGTAATATTTGCCATGTTGTCCAGTTCGGCGACAAGAATTTGTTTGCCCACCTCAGTGGCAAAAAACACAACTCTGTAATGGCAGCTGAAGAGCAATTGCAGTTCAGAATCAAGCCCATTCGAGCTCCACAAAAACCAGTTTCAGAAACCGTAAAAAAGGGCCCAAACACCAATACGAATAACAACAAGAACAGCACGTCTCCAGTTGTAAAACATTTGCCTATTTTAAACAAAAATGCACCAATCAAAAACAATAATGCAAACACTACCGTTGTTAAGCAGGAAGCTGGAAATGAAGTTTCAAAAATACAGCCGATTCAAAAGAAAGGTCCAGCCATTGCACTTAACAAGCAAAACCTTGCTAGCCCTAAGGCGGGAAATAATCAAACTACTCAAAAGAATATTCAGGGCAATAATCCAAACATTCAAAAGAATGTCCCAGTAAACAATCCACCCAATCTAAAGAATACTTTACAAAATAACACGCCTACAAAAAAAAATACAGCGAATAATATACCCGTACAAAAGAATATCTCGGTTATTGGTGCACAGAAAAAACCTAACCCGAACCCGGGAAATATGCAAGCGAAGAAAGCAAATGTGAATGCGGCTAACGCAACTAACACTGCTAATAAAAAGGCTCCACAGTCGGCAACGGCTACAGCAAACACTTCCTCGATTTCGGGAGGTCCTGCTCCAAAAACTAGTGTAAGCAATACCACTTTGCAGCAGGCAGCGGATGTTCAGACCCAAAAACAATCACAAGCGCAAACAAAACCACCTGTTCAAAATCCCGCACATACAGAAACAAAGCCACAGCCAACCAAAGCTGTGCAGAATGCTATATCGAATAACGCGGACTTGGCTCGCAACAAGACAACTAATCCAGATATAGTCAAAAATCCGCTTACCACGAAAATATCTTGTGTTCCGCTGGCCAAGCTTATCAACTCCACACCTGAGCCCGAGAACGATGTCATAATTATTGAGGAACTGCCAAAAGAGGCTGCTAAACCGTCAGAAACTCCGAAAAATCTCATACCAGTTCAAGCAACAAATCAGAACTCTACTATTGCGGCCAAGAAGCCGACCAACATTGCTGCGCACCCCGTGCGTCTAACTACTACCAATAAGGTAGTAGTAAGGCCTACCTACGTTGCTCCCACGGATTACCCAGCAGCTAGACCTGGCGGCACATTTGAGTCCAGGAGCCAGAGTCATGTCATGGGCCTTGTTGGAGTGGAGTACGTCTTGAAAATAGTTAGGAATTTGGCTGATAAGAATGCCAGATACCAATGTTGCCTATGCGAGATCACTGCCGATGAGCAATCGATGCACAACCATTTGCTGGGCTATAACCACCGCTTAAAGTATTTCGACAAGCATTTCCCGACAGCAATGCGTCTGTACCGCCAGTATGTGTCCCAAGTGCCTGAGAGCGAGGTGTGCAAAATAATGATGCCCATTTTTGATAAGCTTGCGCATGCCATTGAAACGCACCATGGTCGAAAATCTGCCCATCTGTGCTATGAACATGTATATTCCAAAGATCGCCAGAGCTTGTTCTCCCAGGTGTACAATAGAAAGCACTCGTCGGAAAAGTTTGGGCCCTCGTTCACACACGTCGTTGATGCTAAAGAGGTGGAGGAGTTGATCAACAGGGTTAGAAACAACGTTCAGCCCTTGATGAACATTGAAAATCCGAATCCTTACTACGTCCCTCCATACGTACCTCATTATGTGGGATATCAGAATGTGCCCGAAAAAAATACACAACCGCCCGTTGATGACGAAACGCACAAGCGAATGGTCGACAACTTTCTCAGGGACACCAGACATAGTTCGGGCGATGTCCATAAGTCTCGAAACCCAAAGCGGAACCGCTCCAGATCCAACTCGCCTGATCAAAGGAAGAGAGTCACCCACAAAAGGCACTGGAATGTTGAGCGTAGATCAGTGTCGCCTTTGCGCGATGGTGACCTTTGGCAGGCGTACCGCCACATGGTAGATCATAAGGTGCGCGAGCTAAATATGTCCTTCGACACATACAAATCTGACCCCGAACAGCATCCAAACTATCAGGCTGAGTGGCAAATGTTTTGGAAGCGCCGTAAGGATGAACTTATACTGGCTGGCATTAACCATCGCACGTACAACTTTCAAAACGAGTGGATTCATTTCTTTAATGCTCGCATCGAGGAGTTGTACAATCAAGATATTGAAAATATCAAAATAAAATGTCGCGAACGTTTGTGTTTGCCAATGACCAATAACGAATTAGCCGACGAAAAGTATTATGTTCATTTGGGCAAAACGGACGAGCCCGATTTGCGAAAGCCAGAACCTAGAAATGAACTGCAGAAAATGATGGTTGATGAAGAGAATCTGGTTGTGGAGCCACCGAATGTGATCCATGTCCTACGTCTTTTAACCGCTTTGGAAGATTACCTGGGAAGTTTGGGTCCTTTTGTTACCGAAATGCTAGTGAAAGCCTTGCAAACGCAAAAGATTAATCCGGAAAATGTTCATTCATCAATTTTAACAGCCGAAAACTGTGCTATTTTGGAGACCGTTAAAGAAAAGTTTACTGGTCTCTTAATATCCCAAATTTATGATCCCGCTAAAGAAAGGGCTTTGAAAAGAGCTATTAATGACACTGAACTGTTGCTTCGAAGTGCCAGTAAACTTAACCATTCCAAAGATAACGCTCAGCACGCTGAGCAACCCGATATGGCCAACAAAAAACCGTATAGCCATGATAAACCATTGGACAAAACTGAGCTCGCGGCGAAACTGGCTTCCTCATTGATGTCCCAAGGCAAAACATCTATTAACCGAGAGGAACTTCAGAAGATACTTCAAGTATACACGATGATTGAGCAGAAGAAACGCCAGGACGTGCCCTCCTCTAGCAGTTCCATAAATTTATTGCCCAGCACTTCCACTAACTTGATTCCAAATTCCAATAGCAATGGTAACCTGTTGACACAACATTCATCTAGAAATTTAAACATTGCAAGCAATGCAAAGCAACCCAACAATCCGACCAGTATGCATACTGGTCAAAACTACTCCGGAAATGTGGCCCGCTTTAACAACCAACAAAGCACTAACTTAGCTAGCACCTTTACCTCGAACGCGTATCCGACTGATCGTGGATTTGGGGGATCCGGCGGATTTAATAGTCAAGTCGGCTCTGCACTACCGGCAATCAACCCGAGCAGCGTTTTGCGAAACGATCTGACCACGTCGTCACTCTTCAACTTCAACACCAATTTGAACCCATCTTATAACAACCCTAACCGGAGGAATCCTAATTTTTAGTTGATAGCACGTAATGCGGATAGATTGATAACGAATACTTACATTAAACCCACAATAATGTAATCACAACATTTTCAAATAAGCTACATTCATTGAAAATTTGTACAACATTTGAAGAATGTAATGTAAATAAATCGATTTTATAATGACAGTCAGTTGTTATTAATTATTCTAGAAAAGGAAGAAGTTAGCTTACTTAACTAAATTAACTTACTTAACTAAATTAGTTATCAAATGAATGTGTTTTTTTTTTTTATATAATATGGATAACTTTTAATATTTCGATTTTATTGCATACATTTGAGTGGATATCAATTATTTTCATAAAATAAATTGTACATTCGGCAATTAGAAAAATAAAATAACATGAAATTCTAAACATTTGAGACCACTGTGTATTCTACAAAACTCCAATAGTATATTCATTCTGATTATCTCGAAACCAGATTACACATTTTCCTATGTCACGTCCAGTTAAATGGAAAAGATGATAAATTAGAACTGTGTTTCTGGTGGAGATGTCTTTTATGTTACATTAGAATAGTAAGCACAAACGTACAGCGCATGGAACACACATACAGCACATCCGGATGAATGCCATACCACATCGTTTCACGGTTTAAATAGGTTAATGGATCTCGAACCTAATCCTGCATCTAGAAAATCCTAGCTTCTAGAAAAATATGCGGATGCACAAACTCAAGTACTCCATACTCCAAAGTGATGAAGAACACTTCGATTGTAACCATGCCGTACTTCGGAAGCTATACACTTCCAAAATTATGACCATGACGGCTTTTCATCTCGACGCTGGAAAATTATCGCCCAAAAACAACTGCTAATCGCTGGAAAAATGTAATTGTGCTCACGCCGAGTAGCTATCAGTATTTATATTTAGATCAATCTTTATTCAAATAGGCCAAACAAACCACCTGGTACTCTACGTTGTTAAAAAAGGTACGAAATAATTCTAAAGTAATTACAACACCTTTTAAATATTCTAATGAATATCTATTTAGCGAACTTGACATACGAATTTGTTTAATTTGTAATGTGATTAACGTGAAATTTCCAACTTAATAGCATCTGAAGACAATGCAAATTTTTAATTAAAGTTGTCGATTGATTAGATATGGTATTTTCTATTTCCTGTGCTATAAAAAGATGACAAAAAAAAGATGGCAAAAGATAATTTTAATTGTTTTTGGTTTTTTTTTTACCTTTAAAGAGGATTTTTGTTAAGTTTATGTTTAATCTTGATATACATACATAAATCAAAAAAGCCATTCGAAAAATAGTAGCTTCTGATGATAGTGCGATTATCTCAATGCTATTTCTGGCAAACTACTTATTAAAAAGTTAGTGATTAATGCGAAGTGTCTGTCCGCCTAAGTATTTCCAAGGTTTGTTTTTCATGCATTTGATGGTTAATTTAAATCCAGCTTAGGTATGTCCTGAAACAAGAATTTAAAGTATTTCTAGAATAATCATGTTTATATAACTTATTATTTTGCATTCTACTATTTCAGAAGTCGTTATGCCTTCTTCATTGTGTGAAGCTCTCACAAATTCTTCGTAAGTTTTAAAACCGCTTTAAATAATAATTTAGTAATATAATTTGGACTTTTTTTTGCAGAATCAGTTTTGATTATCAAAAAGAAGATGATTGGATTACGAGTGGAAAGCTTGGTTCGCGAGAAGCAGTTTTGGTATTTAGAACGAATATTCTTAATCCGAAAATCCGGAAAACATTGTCTGAGAAGTCCTCTGCACAAGTGTTAACGGAATCGAAGGATAATGAGGAAGAGGCCGTTCAATGCCAAGAAAAACAAGAGCAAAAAGAATCCACTTCTTCAGAACCGAGTAGTAAGGATTCTCTTAGCGGTTCAACGCAACAAAAGATATTTTTATTGAAAAAACCGCAACAATGTGATAAATCGGATAAATTAACTTTTTCTAGCCCTTTTAAGAAGATACTTAACCGATATTCCTCGAGTGATACGTCCATTTCAAGTGAAGGTGAAGAGCCTGCAAGTAGTAGTGAAAAGAAATCGCGTGTACTTAAAACCAGTCAGAATACTATTAATATTGAACTAACTGCCGACTTATCGAAGGAGAGTGGATACGAATCCATAGCACCTGCCAAATCACTTTCAAATACTGTAGTAAGCGAAGAAGATCAGGAGGTGACAAGCGAAGATGATGATGAAAGTGGGATTAACATGCCTGCCTCTAAACTAAAAATTACCTACAAATTCCATCAAACGGAAACCAAGTTGCTTAGAAAGCTCTTTAATGTCCATGGCCTTACAGAAGTTCAGGGTGAAAATAATAACTTTAATTTACTCTGGACGGGTGTTCATATGAAATTAGATATTGTTAGAAATTTGGCGCCGTATCAGAGGGTTAATCATTTCCCAAGGTGAGTAAATTTTGTTCTCATTTTAACCGAATTAAATGCATTTATTTCGTATGCGCAGGTCCTACGAAATGACCCGAAAGGACAGACTATATAAAAACATCGAACGCATGCAACATCTCCGGGGTATGAAGCATTTTGATATTGTGCCACAAACATTCGTTCTGCCAATCGAGTCCCGAGATCTAGTAGTAGCCCACAACAAGCATCGCGGACCATGGATAGTTAAGCCAGCGGCATCTAGTCGAGGAAGGGGAATATTTATTGTCAATTCGGTAACTATAAATTGTATATTAATTGTATACTAACAAATAGATTTGTTTGCTTTTAGCCAGATCAAATACCTCAAGATGAACAGGCGGTGGTGTCGAAGTATATAGTGGATCCGCTGTGCATTGATGGTCACAAATGTGATTTAAGGGTATACGTCCTAGTGACGTCCTTCGATCCCCTAATTATTTATTTATATGAAGAGGGCATTGTCAGGTTGGCCACAGTCAAGTACGACAGACATGCCGATAACCTGTGGAACCCGTGCATGCACCTCTGCAATTACAGCATTAACAAATACCATTCTGATTACATAAGGAGCTCCGATGCTCAGGATGAGGATGTAGGCCATAAGTGGACGTTGTCTGCTCTCTTAAGGCACCTGAAACTCCAGAGTTGTGATACACGTCAGCTAATGCTGAATATTGAAGATTTAATTATTAAAGCTGTGCTAGCCTGTGCTCAATCCATTATTTCGGCCTGCAGAATGTTCGTTCCCAACGGAAATAACTGCTTTGAGCTGTATGGATTTGATATATTAATAGACAACGCACTAAAGCCATGGCTACTGGAAATCAACTTATCACCGTCAATGGGTGTGGATAGTCCTTTGGACACCAAGGTGAAGTCATGCCTAATGGCAGACCTATTGACGTGTGTGGGCATTCCAGCCTATAGTCCAGAAATGAGATCTCATTATGACCAGAAATGGTCGCGTTTCCGCAGCTCAAGCTGCCAAAGGCAAGCCACATTTCCCAGTGCCTCGCAAAAGACAAAGAAGTCGAAGAAAAAAGGACCTGCCATTAATCTTAATCTAACCGGCGAAGAGCAGCGCATATTGCGCAATGCACGCCTACAGTATTCTCGTCGTGGAGGATTCGTACGCATCTTTCCTACGGATGACTCAATGCAGCGTTATGGTAATTTCCTTGATTCTGCTAATGGCATTCCAATTTCCACACCGAATGTTCAAAGTCAGACATTCCAAACGCCGATTATTCAGCACAACTACAACCAGATGATTCACCAAAATTTATACTCCAAGGATGGCCGGCAAAAGCAGGAGGATAATTCTGAAGCTGACCGGATTTGGCAATACGAAAGGGCCTTAGAAACCGATTCGGAAATTCCATTTGTCAAGAAGCCCACAGTTGAGAAGTGCGAAGTGGAGGGGAGGCGGTTAAGGAAGGTGATGCTCAAGAAAATATCCAATGGATCAGAGCTGACGCCATTTCAAGCGCGACAGACGTTCAGCATATACTTGGAATCGGTTCTCCGGCGGCTTACCGAAGATCCCAAAGACAATCACGAGAAAATAATACTCAAGTTTTTGAACAAGTTCGGCGGGTCTATAAAGCCGCCAGTAATGTTCCGAAATATGCAAACCATTAAGGTGGCCAGCAAAGCCCGGTCCGCAATGGTGGCGAAACTTCTGGGTGACTTTCTGGAGAACTACAAAAGAGATACAGAGGCCTATGTGGACTCGTTCGATCACTTCGGAATGATTCCATCCAGTGCCTACAATCAGTTCTTAATGCACGCCCAAGAGTCCGATTTGGAGGCAGTGCTGACACTCCACACCAATGTAACCGGGATCATGCCCTTCCTCTACAACCGATGTGGACTGTCAGTGCCACCCACTCCCCCGATTCCGTCTGGCTTGCACGGCTTTCTGAGAGCCCTCCCCTCCATGGTGTCCTCCACTGGCAGTAACAGGGAGCTCAGCAAATACGATGGATACTTCAAGAACTTTGACAAGGAGAAGATATTTCTATGAAGCCCGAAATCGATGGGAATTTTAAATCTAAATAGCTAATTTGTCAAGCTTTTGTCCAGTCATCCTATTGTAGTAAGTCTAATTATTTTTGTATTCAAATTTTCGCATTAAGGCAGAGGCTTACACAAATAAATATTTATCGATAAACAACGATTACTTAAATGTAATTTTTGAAACGCTTTATTAAAAATGAAATAGCTTTTATATATTTAAAAAAAAGGACAACTTTTTCTGCCTACACAACTCATAGCTTTAAAAATATAATATACATTCGACGCCAAAGATATATGAAATCGATACTTCGAAAATAAATGTGAAATGCACAAAACTATGCAACTGAGTTTTTGTTTAAAAATTTAATTTTTTGTGATGGGTATTTCGAATATGTGACTATTTTTCCAAGCTGAGTACCACCACTTGACAACAGGTGGCGATGGTAAGAGTGTTAGGAATGGACTATGGCGAATAAAACTAATATGGAGCACTTTATTTGGGCGTCGCTTAGTAACAAACACTAACATATTAGTCGGGGCACTTCTTCCCCCACCAGAAAGTGCTCCGAAATGCAAAATGGACATATGTACAAATATGGAAAAGCTTTCACAGGAACCCCAGATGCTTCGAAAGCTTCTGCTGGAGCTTTTCCGAGCACAACCGAGAGTTGCCAGTGGTCATTTCCTTTTTTGGCAGAAAAGTGATTATAGTGCTAAGTAAATTTACTCGGATAAACATATATTTCCTTGATTCTTAAACTATACATGTAGGTGCGCTAATTGCTCGATCGAGCGCATAGCTCATCCCTGTATATAGGTCTCTGGAGGCAAATGTGCGGTGAGCAGGCAATTGATATTGATTAGTACCCCGTCAATAAATGAATATATCTTTCGAACCCTTTGGCAAGCAGTGCTTATCACAAGTTCCCGAACACCCGCAGTGCAAATTGATGTAAATGCGTGAAAACTTATGCCCATCAGCGAGTCAGCCGAAAGTAATAACATTTTCAGAGTCAAAACCAAACAATGACAGCTGATTCCAGTGCACGTAATGTTTTTCGAAAGAACGGCGTTGCCGGCTTGGGCAACAACGGTCATGGCCGGAATCTTATTACGACCGCCAATCCATCCGGAGGGAGTAGCGCCTCGCTGCTCCAGAAGCAGTTGTCCTTCAAAACGCCCGTTGGCTCCAAGCAGATGGGTAAATCCGATGAGATCGAAATGATCGACAGTGCGAACATCGAAAACTTCAATACGCGGTATAATAAGGTACGGCAGCAGTGCGTATGCTTGATATTCACGTCCTAAAGTTATCCAAATTGTGGTTCTATTTTGAATGCGATCTACAGAACAGCATCATAGGATGGATATGCTGTGCCCCGTGCATTTGGCTGCGCACCTCGGCAGCAGTGCACAAAATGGCCATCACATCAGCCACCTTGTTGGTGACCACATTGCTGGTAGCATCTCCCATATTGTTTTTGATAAGCACGGCACCCTCACCTCTGCCCAGAGATTGCTACATGGACGGAGATCGGTGCTCGCCCGCCGTTTCGGCACCGCCGGAATGCTCGGATCCCATCTGCGAGGCGGTGGCCTCCAGCATTCAGGCCAGGCTCAATTGGAACAAGGACCCGTGCACGGAGTTCAAGAAGTTTAGCTGTTGGCGCAACACGCCCAATAAAAATATAACAAACCTCATCGAAATGGGCAACTCCCAGAAGAGCGTCGATGCACAAATGCTGTGTAAGATACCCCATCAGCCACATGACTGTAACTCATGTTAATTATACATTTACTTGCAGATCTGTTCCAGAATAAGATTATGAACGGCAGCTTTGGTATATTGCACAATTTGTTCGATAGCTGCTTGCAGCAGACAACTAACTCAACTGTAATGCACAGGATATTCGATTCCCTAGGCGGATATCTACCTGTTGGTTCGGTGGGACCATCGAGTATAGCACCCTTAATAGCCAAGATCTATGATCTCGGTCCCAGCCCGTTGGTAGACTTATATTATGACCTCAGCTACGGAAGGCGGCCGCACATCCTACTTATTATTAGTGGACCCAGCACTTCGTCAACTATTCTTGAGGTAGTTCGGTGGTCGTATATTATGGAAATGACAATAATATGAAAATTTATTTAGCGAAAAATACGTTGGATGAGTCCGAAAGCACCGCCTAGTCGTATTCGACAAGGGGTACCAATACTGTTAGCCGATCTAATCGAGAATTTCCTACCACACTTTGTGTCATATGCTCAAAGAGTCTCTGAGAAGGACACCATTTTTGAATTTATAAAGGACCTAAACAAGGTTAGTTCCAGTACTAAAGCGGTAATAGAACTTAAGCACTCGAACTTCTCTTTCAGCTCCAAGTTGAGCACTCTCGCCGAGGATTCTGGGACAGCACTGTTTTATATAATGTATCCAGTCTACAAGACTTGTACCCAGTTGTAAGTAACCCTGCCTTATTTCTTATGGAATACATTCTAGCAAATATATATATTTTCAGTTAAATTGGACTTTGCTTATACCACGGAACTGGAGCGGACCCATCGTTGTTAGGAATAGTGATTATCTGAAAGCCTTAGAATATTTTCTCACCAAATACCCAACTAGAGTTGCACATAATTCGCTGTTATTGCTAAGTGCTTTACAAATATTGCCACGGGACTATCCAAGTCCTGAAGTTTGCACGCGATCTACCATGTGGGCTATGCCCGAATTGTCATCAGCTCTATATATTGCTCAACACTCATCCGAAGACCTAAAGGACACCACAAAACGAGTGACTATCAACCGTGCTAAATTGAAGACTTATACTTTAGATATTTGTTCTACAGGCTGAGATCATATTTAAGTCATTGAAAGCGCACTTGAAGAGAGCACCTTCTTTGAAAGGAGCTGCCCTTGTGAAGCTATCGGCATTGAAGATCCAATCACAGACCTGGGAGGGATTCTCAAACACAACCGACCTACTGAAGAGTCTTCAACCTCTGGATATTACGTCCGAATGCTGGTTTCAAAACATTTTGGAGATATACAAAAAGAACAAACTGGAGCCGAATGATATAAGTTTGAACGGAGGCTCCCATGATGCGTATGTGTTTTGTTTCACCATAAAATGGGTTGCTAATTCTAAATCATACATAACTTTCATTGCAGTTGGGCATACCCCATTGTGTCGACTATTTTCTATGATACGCTGAGCCATTCAATCGGTCGGTATACATTTGAAACCCTAAACAGCATAGTAAACTATAATATTTCCGTAAATATTTGCAGTTGTCCCATTATCTGTCATACTCATACCGTACTTTGATGCTGTATTGCCTCCATATTTGCACTATGCTTCCGTTGGTGTTTCCATTGCCAAAGAGATTTTGCGATCCATCACAAAATCGTTTGACGAAAAGGCAATGCGCTGTGTGCCGCATTCTGTAAATATATTCTCGAACTATAGCCGAATGGACATACTGATACACTCGGGAGGAATGCAGATTTCATACCACTCCATGCTTTCCCTAACTGGTCCCATCAAGGGAATGGCCAGACTACCTGGCCTGAACTTAACGCCCACACAAATCTTCTTTTTAGTTTCCGCCCAGGAACTTTGTGCTGAATCGAACTACTTGGGCATCGATACGAATGCTCCCGAATTCGATAATATGTAAGTTACAAAACACAAAAATGAGCAGTAATCGAATGTTATGCACCCTGTTTCCAGATTGGGTTGGCTCGTTGCCCAGGGTGGGAGTGCGACTGAAGTTTTCAAATGTCCATCGGGATCTATGATCAATGTACAGAAGACCTGCAATGTGCTTTAAATATTATTTCACCGTCAACTTAGACTATCTACTTTGTCTACGATCCGAATTGAGTTTAGAATTAGTAGCTTTAGAGACTTACCTACTAGTATTGTTTTCTATTTTAAATGTAAAATGTATATTTTAAATAAATATACTGTTAATAAATTGTTGGTTTATATTTAAATACAAGTTTATTTGAAAACGTGATCAAGTTAGTCGCTAACTTATATTCAAAATAATAAAAATAGCTAGAATCCTAACAAAAATGAAAAGTCGAATTGCTGCTGCAGTACTACATGGATTTTTAATAAATCTACTATTTCCTGTAGCTAAAAGTGAAATGCCCGATAGTATGAACGCAATACTCATCAAATGCCCCGAAAACAATACAAACAAGTCCTGCGAAACTCAATTGATTGTCAATATTCACATGAACCCAAGCTTCGATTTGGAAAACACGGAGAAGTTTTGGGTGGTTGATAAGGTGTTTGATCCCTCAAAAGGAATCACTTCAAAAATTATATCTCCCTATCTGATTGTAGTTAGCCGGGGCGAGCCTGTTGTAATGTACCCTCTTCGGTTTATAAAAGTCAGTACATTTCAAAGCCTATAATTTAAAGTATTAACTAGTGTTGTACCTTAACCTTAGTCGATTAATAATGAGAAAATAAGCATGAAGCCCCTAAAAGAAGTCAATAATAATGCGAAGCTTGGTGGTTCCCCATCCTGCATGACTAATGAAGGCCAACTTGAAACAAATATAAAAGGACAAGAGATGGAAAATGCCACCAGATGTGAGTGATTAATTTGTACTATTTGTGGTATTATGATTTTATATATTTTGTTTTAGTGAAAAGAAATCACTTTCCACTCTATGCCACAGGAAAATCAATTATTTCAAGCATTTTCGGCACGAAGAGGCATAAGAAAAATATACCATCTCGGCGTAGGGATAAAAGAATCAATGATCTCCAGCAAAAGGACCTTTCAAGCCTTGGACTTGTTCAAGTTTTGGATACTGCTGTAACAAAAAGTAGTTACATGATTAGAGATTTCTTATTATGCGCTTGAAAGTTGTATATTTGCAGATTACCTAGATTCCCCTAACAACTTTTTAAATTCCTACAAAGATACGCAGAGTAAAGAATTGGATAAACATAACTTACTTAAATGGCACGATCACTATATTCCTAAATCCAATTCTGAAGTCTTTTCCAGAAAGAGTCAAATGAACACTCAACATAAAGAAAACTTAAAGAGCTTGAACATAGCAGACGATGCCGATAAACTATTTTCCTATGAGGTACATAATTAAAATAATATTTATTCGCTTTAAATTACTTAAATCATTTTATATTTCAGAACTCAAGAAACCGCCAGCAACAAAATAATGAAGGCAAGCTGTACACAGAATACGAAAAATCTGAGGAAGAATCAGTGCCCGATTATCTTTTGTAAGTAATTACTATTGCCAATACGAAAAATGATATAAATATTTATACCCGTTACTCGTAGAGTAAAAAGGGTATACTAGAGTCGTTGAAACGTATGTAACTGGCAGAAGAACACGTTTCCGACTATATAAAGTATATATATTCTTGATCAGGATCAATATCAGAGTCGAACTTGACATGTCCGTCCGTATGAACGCCTCGATCTCAGGAACTATAAAAGAGCTTCCAGAGACATAGATACATAGATGCCCACATTTTTTAAAAATGTTTGGATATTTCTTCATTTTTTTATTAGTCTTGTAAATTTCTATCGATTGGCCAAAAACTGTTTTGCCACGCCCACAATTGGGAACATTTATTTTTTCATTTCTTAATGTTATTCGCAATTTTCCAGAATAATTTGAAATTTCACTTTCGCCTTTCCAGTAGCTGAGTAACGGGTATCTGATAGTCGGGGAACTCGACTATAGCATTATATCTTGTTTATACTTAGATATGAACGATTGGCACAGGAATCTAGAAGGAAAAAAATTAAAGAAAATTTTGATAAAAACTATGTACCACCTCGGAAAAGTATGTATAATTCGAATGAATTTTCAAATAGGGAAGATCACGAAAGTATTGAGTACAAGTTACCCCCCAAAAGTCTAAATGATGTACAAGGTTTTCCTTACGAAAGTGTAGAAAATCATTTTCCCAATCAGAAAAGGCTTTCACATAAAATGGAAAATGAAAATTATAATTTAATAACATCCGGTGATCGGAAAACAAATACTTACGAATTTCCAATTAAGAGAGACAATAATAATCTAAGATCGCATTCTATTGGTGATGTTTATGATTTTCCCCACGGAAGTAAAAAGCACCATGAAAACTACAAGCCACTTTTGGAAGACAACTATGTGGCCCAGGAAAGGAAATATAAAAAGAAAAACTTTAGAGGATATAATAGTCAATATAACAAACACGATTTTTCATTGGAAGCTGAAAAGGATCTTTATTATTCCAGGACCCCAGTCGAAAGTTTATCGAGAGATATGGATTTTCCCAGTGAAATAGAAAATAAGAAAAATAATTTTAAAAATCCCACCTATAGTTATTCAGATTCAAACGGATTTTCACATGGAAATCCATACGATAATAGCCTTTCCAAAGAAAAAGATTTCGAAAGTGGTAATGAAAACCTAAATTTGAACGCACCTAAAGGAAATTTGTACAGCCACAATTTTAATTTTGATACAAAGTTAGAATATCCAAGGTTGCCCGAAAACAATGTTAATGACTTTCCGTGGACTCAAAGCAACATTGGAGACGAAAGCCTCGATTCTATTGTAAACCGTCATATGAAACAAAAACTTCCAGGTGAGCTTAAATTCTATTGCAACCAAGTACAAACAAAAAATGTCAAATTTCAGATAACTTCGAGGTCAAATACAGTTTCAACGCGCCAAATGATTTGAATTTGGATTATTTTAAACCGGCTAGTAGTCAAAAATATTTAGACTTCGGTTCCAAGCAGAACATAAATCCCTATCTAACTTACTCGAAAACCAATTCCTATGAGACGTTGCCCTATCCACGATCAAGAAACCTAAAAAGGATGAAACGAGATGGGCTTCAGGATCGTCATATGGAAAATGGTGAGGACTCGCGATTGGATCCAAAGTATGATGCCGATCTTGACTCGTTGAAAGTGCTGAAACTAAAGCACATAGATGATAATGGGGAAATTCCATGTGATACGTGTGGGGGCAAGAATAAAAAGAAGGATGAAAAGCCCCGAACAATATATAGTAGTGCCTTGGCAGAACCGAAAAGTTTAGAAGGTAAAATTGAGAATGCGAACCCCAAAATTGATGAGGCCGTTCCTTGCGATACGTGTGGTGGTAAAAATAAGAAGCCAGGGGGGAAGCCTTTGCCGGGAGGATTGCCTCCTGAAGTCAACAGTTTAGATGCTGAAAGTGATGAGCGACGGCTACCCGACTATATGATACCGTGCGAAAGTTGCAAGACAAGCAATAGGTATACAGAAGGCAACCTTGAATCTGCATCCTGCGGTTGTGTTACCAACTCAAAAGTGTGCAATTGTGAATCCTCTAAGTTATCCAGAGCTTTAAACGATAGGTAATAGCTTAGAACTAATACATACCTTTTGAACATTGACAATTTCCATGTTTAGTTTGAAGGAATGGAGCTATACGGTCTTTAATATGAATAATCCTGTTCCATTTTTAAGCACCAAACTACGTGTTTTTAGAAGGCGTCACAACACATGGTGGCTGGTTGTTCCGATAGTAACGTAAGTTAAAAATATAGTTTATGGTTTATTATTGGTAAATAACTTAAAAAATGATTGATTATAGGCTTGATAGTGTATCAGGCATATTTGCAAATGATAACTTTTCGGCCGTGCTTACTTCCCACATCGATATGATTCGCCTGGAAAAATCAACAGGCTTCTCGAATCGAAATCTAGCTGTTCCTAAAGAAAATGAGAAGGCATTTGCTAGAAAACGACATGCTATTACCCTAAAAGATCTACAGAATAACATTGGGAATAGTGTTCTGCTCGATGAATCGAATAAGGACGTATCTATTCGGGAAATAAAAAACTCTTGCAACTTAAAGGTTCAAAATGAGGAAAGTATGAAAGGCTTGGCTAGTAGAAGCATCAAAGGATTGGGATATTTACCAGTTTCTATGAATGCGCTGGATAATTGTCCTCATAAGGACAAAACCCTATGCCTAAATATTCGGGAAGATAAAGTACCAGGTGGTAACCTCAATAACACTAGAGTATATATGATTCGAACTTTTAAAGAATTTTTTTTATTTATTTAGAATTTAGTATAAAAGTGAAGATACCTTTTCGGGAAAATGCTCTTGTTATGCGCAATCAGCATATGGTGAAAATTTCAAGAATCATAACCGATGCAACCACAAAAGATGCACTTCAAATTTCGATCGATGTTATAAACAAAGGTTTTGAAGCACAGGAATATACCATATTTGTTTGCAACTGCGATATTTTGAAAAGTGGATCAGCATCGCACACTGCCAGAAGATTATTACAGCCGGATATTGGGCAAACCGTCACTTTTTTAGTGCCCTTGATAATAGTCTCGAAAAAAAACAAGAAGTACAGCTGCGATGGTAGGTTTGAAATTTTGAAATATATTTGTAGCACTTTTAAAATGTTCCCTAAACTTCTAAGTGATGGTTAAGGCCAGTACGGATTATGATGAGAGTGATACCAATCTGCCGAAACCCGTTGACCCAAAAGTAGGAGTTATTGCCAAAAGAACTATGGAAATTAAATGCCACTCGAGGTGCTTTTGTGTTTGGCGTTGTCGATGTCACTGCATTGGAAAGCTGGAGACTTTCATCAACTACAATGCCTGTGAAAGAATGGATCCCAAGTCCGAAAAAGAGGCTGGTCTCGTCTACAACTGTCCACCTGGTAATGAGCCAAATGATGTGTGCATCAAGGACGTTTGCAGCGATCGAAAAGAGGAGATAACTTGCAAACTCACCTGTAAAGTCATAGCCATTACACTGCTCGTTTTGATGTTGCTGTTCTTATTGGGTAGCAAATATTATAGAACCTACGAAACTCAATTTCAAATATCCTTCCGTCCACAGGACTTTTAAAGGCCATTCTTGGCATCTGCATTACTTGCATAGGTCGCTGTGGCTTCGACACAGTGCAGCCTGGCAGGACATACGAATGCACCTCCTGCATAAGGATCTTTTTGGTCAACTGTTTCTTCTTCATCATATATCCCTTTGCCTGTTGGTGCAAGTGCTTCCGACCAAAGGCGAGGGACCTCATAGAAGCCAGTTCCGATTGGGATTGCATTTCTCAAAACGATGAAACACAAAAATGCACCTGTGATGTAAGCAGAACAAACTATATCGCTTTCCAAAATTTTATATATTCGAATTATTCTTTAGAAAAATGAGTCCAGCTGCCGACTCCATGGTGGCCAGGATCTACAAAACAATTTAGTGCTCGCCTTTGCTCCACTGCATGAAAATGGCCTGTTCAAGGACGAGAAGTCAGACGACGAGGAGAGCCATTTGTTTATCCTAGAAGTGTTGGAGGAGAGCAAAAGTTCCCTGACTAAAATGGTAATTAGCAATCGTTTCCTTACAGAAAATGATGAGTCCTTCCTTGCAGATGAGTCAAGTCATGGATCCTGTTCAGAATGTTGAGCAGGCCACTGAAAGTAATGCCGATGTTATGGCGGCCGAGGAGTTTGTGGAATGTCTGCGGAACTCGCAGGTGGCTTATAGAACATTGAGTTCGCCAGTTGGCGGAGTAGTCAACATCCCGGATAACTTTCAGTATTGCGTGAAAGGGTTCTTTGTGCAAACTATAAACTCGAACTTTGAGTTTATGAGCTATCATCCACTATCGCAGTTTGTTGGAATCACAGAGGAGGTACTTACTACCAATATCATCTCATTCTAGTAGCTTACTAAAAGTATTTCTTTAGAACGAAGTTAGGGCTCTGGCACAGCCGCGATACATCCACTCTAATGAGTTCTCTAGAGTCTACGCTGATAAAATGGAGGTTCATAAGGCAGCTGATCTCTCAGTGGTTCCTCCAATGGATGTTCCTTGTATCAACATCGACCACGGAAACCAATTGGAGGGTTCCTTTGTTAAACTCGCAGCGCAGCAGGAAAAAATGAAAGCAAATCAGACCTAAGCATTATAATCGTAGCTTATTTTATTAAGTTTTGAATAATTTACATTCTTAAGTTGTGTGCTAATTCAATGGAACGTTGTATGCTGAGTACCCATTAGATGGAGTGGTACTCTTTATTTCCTTATCCAGAATTTCAGAAATACCTAACCTAATGTCTATTAGGCCACTGCCGTCTGAAACCTCACTTGAAGTATCACTTACGGTCTGGGATTCAGGTGAAGTGGCAGTTTTGTTGTAGTACTTAATAAAGTAAACTTCCGTCTGATTCGAAATTGGGCTAACTGCATCCACTTGATGGTCAGAAATTGGCGGGTTTATGGATAACTCCGAGCTTGTTTTCAGTAAAGCCTCCTCTCTGTGGAAGTCATCTTCTACAGTCTTGCCAGGATCTCTGAATTCGTAGACCGATGTATTTTCAGATGCCTGACCCTGGTGCTCATCCGGCGAATCGTAAGGGAATCCACCATGGGCCACCGCTGTGTATAAAGGCACAACTCGATTGCTATGCTGCAGATTGTTTCCAATGATGTGTGATGGCCGAGGGTCGATTGACGAGTATGCTTGACCTTCTGAATAGGCATTGTGGGCGTTGAAGTCAGATTGAGCTTGAGCCACATAACTTATGGTCGGTTTTGGTGTGGTATTGGGCACAATGTAGTGGTAATGTATGTGCTGAACTGGCCGTGGGTGTTGTATTTGCAATTGAAAATCTGATTGAGTGTTTATTTGCGATCCGTACTTTATATGAGTGGCTGCTGGGTTTCCATCGATCTTCTGCTCTGGAGCAGCAAGTATTTGGGGTACATCATGGGGACCAGGGTCTTCCTGATCAGCACTCGATGTACGAGTTATATCACCTATATAACTTGGCGGTGGCAGGATGTTCTGATTAATTTCCTTATGACTTGAGCGGTTTACGATTCTCCCTATCGATTGAGCTTGAATAAGGGAGTTTTTTGAAGCTTCATCTGTTGAGTTAAATGTATTATCTTTGTGTATGGCAGCACACTCTCCATGGAAACTGCCATATAAAATGATATTATACGCCACTAGCACTCTTATCCCAAGCATTTTTTTATGAAGTGGACAAATGTATTCACAAGAGACTATCAGCAACTGTCTTTAATTCGCTTTGCATTCGGACTTTATATGGATCCCAGATTACATAAATACACTGTGTATTGCTCGGATTATGTCAACGAATCCCAACTATGGGCCTTACCCAAAGCGAGCTTGATTTGCTTACTTTTGGTGAAAGTCAAATCGAATGCAATTAATAGAGGCTTGATTTGCGTGGGCTGTCGAATTAATACGTTCATAAAACCACCCAATTGTATAAAAGTTTCTCTGGAAGAGTATAAATATAAACGAATTTGACGAGCTTATATAAACTAAACAAGCAGCAGTGAAAGCGGAATTTTGTTGATTAACTTGAAGAGTTGGAAACTTTACAAACACCCCAACACAGGCCAATGCAAAATAACTAGATGCATTACTTAGCTCTTTATAAAGATTTTATTACTATAAAATGTATTACAACAAATATGTAAAATGACAATAAAATGAGGAAAAAATACACTATTACACACATATATATGCTTGCGAATGTAGTTAAGCCTAGAACTCAGCCCCATATTGTTGGCAGGGCATTATAGTGTTACTTAATATAAATGCAAAATCACTGTAAAAATTTCAAACTTAAGGTACTACTAAAATTATTATTTATTACTTGTTTATTTTATTACTCATATTTAGATTCGATTGATATATATAAGACATATATGTATGCTTTTGTGGTTTTATATTTTGTATATTTTCATGACCTATGAATGAGCTATGCAGAGACACTTTAATATCGGCTTTCGGCTTCCTAGCGAACGGTTTTAACAGGTGGTTTCTAAAAGTGGATCAGGCTTATAAGTACTCGTAAAGGGGTTTACATTATTAACAGTTGTGGAATCTTTGGGGGCTCGTGTGAGGGAGATAAAGTCTTCAAGGTGGCTGGTACTCTGCACTGCGGCATCCCTACTCACATGAAATTTTTCCGTCTTGTGAGAAGCCATCATTGTGTGACCATCACCCACGCCATCAGATGTCGGAATTTTACTAACGTTACGATCGCTGAGGGACAAAGAGATGTTCTTCTCCAAAGGCGGTTCACGGATCTGCTCGGACAGTCGGCGGATATTAAGGGGCAGTTCCTCCCGTGATTGAGTGGGAATCGATAAGGAGCTATGTCTAGAATGCAATTTCTCTACCTGAAGCAATGATCTTGCTTGATCGTTTGGACAAAGCAAATTACCATGGTTTTGTTGTACAGATTTTCTAATATGGTTCGGCAATGGACTGGAAATCTCCTTTACCTTGTCCGGTAAAAAACTAGCTGACTTGCTTTGAATGTTGGCTTTCAGATCATTAGAAGGCTGGTCGAGTGACCAAATTTTATGCGGCGTATTGCGATATTGTGGAGAGAATGGAGCAAAAAGTAATCCTGGCTCATTTAAAAATACTTGATCGTCGTCCTGCTCCGTTTTAGAATGCTTCAACTGCGGCTTTGCACACTTTGATTTCTCAGTTCTGGCGGAAATTAATTTGTTGTTTATGGAAGAAAGGGATTTTTCGCGGTAGATATTTTTCTTGGGAAGCCGTGAGACTTCCCCAGCAGCGTCTGTTTGTCTCTTGACCCACGGATCGATATTGTGATGCATGTTGTTTGAATACTTTTCCGTTTTCGGGGACAGGCTGTTCTTAATGTGCGAATTCTTTATCCATGGATCCGAAGGATACACCAAACAGCCCGTACTCCTATTGTTCGTATCATACAGAAAGTTAGCTTTGTCTAGCTCCAAGTTGTTGGGGGAAGTTTGCTCCGATTTGCTAATCTTATGGGTAAGCTGTCGATAAAATTGATTGTCTGAATTAGTGGAGAGCTGCCTTGTTTTTTGGGAATCTAATCGAGAAGACTTCGTGATCTCACTGTCGTCGGAAATTATGATGGCCTGTTGAAAACCACTCTTATGTAACGCCAGTCTCGGGGACAGCGATTTTGTATCCTTTCCAATTACACTTTTCAATTGCAAGCACCCCTCGGTTGAATTATCTAATGCGTTTTTTTCCAATGCTGAAGATAGTTTTGTGTCTTTAAATTTACTAATGGTAGACTTGCTACCAGTATCTGAACTCAGCTTAATTTTGATTTCCTCATTTGTTTCCGATTCTGACCCATTCGACTTGTGGGCTTTCTCACAATTGCATATTACAGTTGATGAAATGGATAAGACGTTTGGACTGTCCTTTAGAGATCTGTTTGATGCCACTCTTTTTATACTTTCGGCGTCGATTTGTTGGGACACTTTGTTATTTAGATATCGACCGGAGAGTTGCGTATGCTGGCTATTTAGATGTATATTAGCATTCATTGGTGAATGTGGAGAGAGTACTGGAAGTGTTGGAGCAATATTTGGTTGTTTTAATCGAGAAACAAAAAAGCCGTTCGACTTCATATCAGTTAATGGTGGGGGGTCTTCTTTCCTATTTTGTTTGCTATGTCTGTTTCCGCACGATTTGCTTGATAGTTCCCTGTTTGGGAACTGTGGTGAGAAGGGTTGGGCTTTTGAATACGAGCCCGACTGTTTTTGCTAAAGAAACTTCTGCTCGAGAGCTTTAGTAGAACTCTGGCTGGAATTTGAGGCACCTGTAAAAAGAGCGAACACACACATTAGATGTTATCAGGTAGCTGATAAGAAATTCAAGAGAGAGTTACAAATTATAAATAACAAAAAGATATTCACTGTTTTTCCTAAAACCGTTGAGGCCAAACAATAAAGTTGTTGCAAGTAGAAAACGGTTCACATTCAAAGTATCAAAAAATTACTTTATTCAAACTTTTTGTCCTTACATATTAAAACCATATTACTGAAGCATATTGCTAATAGATCGTTTTAGAACTTAATGCGGTTACTTGTTTGATTTGCCTACCAATATGGTTATGTATAAGATGTTATGACCTATGCTTATTCAATTAATATGAGGACCAGGATCACAATGCTGTATGAATGGGGATTGATCTTGGTGCAAGTCTCCTGACAACTATTTAATTATAATCTTTGTTAAAATGCAATTCTCGAATGTATTGATGCAGCTGGATAAATAATTACATTGCAATACTTATAGTTAATTACAAACCATCGTTTTCAATCCGTTTGACATTTGTATCCACATTCTTTTTACTTGTTTCGCTTCCTGCTGCAGGAGCAGGGTTCGGGTGTTTTGAACTTAGGGACGCACTACCGGCGGCAGGGTTTGAATTAGATATTACACCCGATGTAGTGTCACTAACGCCTCCGTCCACATTATTCTTTAATTGTCATTTCACGAGTTCCACCGAAAGAAACTTGCGCAGTCGCTCGTAATAATGCGGATGCAGTTCCACATCATTATGCCCAGCACCCTGAAATCAAAGATTCTCATGAGTTTGCAAATTAGGTTAAGTTTCCAGTCGTATCATTAAATAAATAAATAAAAATCGATACGATGAGATCGCATTGCAGTTATGTTATGTTTTGCGTTGCGTTGCGTTGCAACGATGAGATCCCATTGTCAATTTTAATGTTTATAAAAAGCTGTGAGCTCGATACGAGACACAATCGATTTCAGGAAAAATACGAAACTATTATGAATGAATAATAACAATAATTATTCCGGTTACAATGCTGATTAACAAGTGCATAACCTGCTCTAGGCAGGTAATCAATCAAGAGTAATTACCTCCACCCAAAACGGCTCGACAGTCTTAGGACATCGCTCGTAGATTCCGATGCCATGGGAAAAGTCAATGACTTCATCATCGGTGCCGTGGATAACCAGAACCGGAGCCTTCACTTTAGCCACCTTATCAATGCTGCGTGGAAAACCGATAGCATCAGAATTGGTTATAATCGCAAATCAAAAATTTTACTCACCTGGGAAAGGCGTCAAAGAACCAGGTTCTCTTTGTGTTCCTAAAGACGACCCTTAGGCCGGACATCAGCGGCGAATGGAGTATCACAGCGCCGACCTCGTGACGCGAGGCTAGGTCCACAGTGGGCACAGTGCCAATGCTCTGCCCATACAAGATGATTGTCTCCGGGCTGATGTTGAATCTGGTTTAAGGGTACACAACGAGTTAGAAGAGGGGAATCATGGTGGTAAATTATAAGTGCTTACCTGGTTCTCATTGCCTGCCAGGCTGCCTCTATGTCAGCATACAGATTTTTCTCGGAGGGCTTGCCGCCACTCATTCCGTAGCCGGAGTAGTCGTACCCAAATATGTTGCAGTTAATCTGGGAGCCCAGGGTCAGGTAGAAGCTGCTCATCTGGCCCAAATCCACTGCATTCCCGTGCGAGAAGAGCAGCGTGTACTTGGCATTCTTGCTGCACCTGACATAGATGCAGGTGATCAGGTTGCCACGCGAGGTGCGCGTAAAGAAGGCCTCCACTTTCGATTTCTCACGTTCTGAGTACTGCCATTCGGCGCGGTCGAACAACTGCAGGTTGTACCGGATGTTGGTATCGTCCGCCGGGGTCAATTTGTACGTGGGCTCCGGCGGCTGGAAGGCCAACTTGGCCGCAATGGGACCCGGACACGGGGGGCAGCAAAACATGCAACAGAGCTCGCTGATACTGAACATGCTCGCTCCGTGCCTCGAATGCCTCTACGGAATGCTAACGATTTCGATTTCTCTCCGCCAATGCACGATTACCATCAACAAAGGACTAACGGAGTTTTGGGTTCAGACTTCGGGTTCGGGCCAATTCGCGTCTATATCATCTATCCGTGGACGTGCAAGTGGTCAATGGGCTAGGCGAGTGGGGTGACGAGACAAACATAACATTTCGGGCTCAGTTCGCACACAGAATTCAACATAATCGAACGGTTAATGGCTAAATTGTCTTACAGAAATTTGGTACACTCACATTTACAAAATGGCAATGTAGATAGGCAAACAACCACAAAGAAGTAAGGTGGCTAAAACGCCCTAAAAAACAACGGCGCTTTCGGTATTTATAGTGTGACCGCCTGCGCAGCGAGTGCAAAATGCCAGCGAATCGAAGCTCTATTTTCAGGGAACGAAGTGGAAACGGAACGAGGGAAATAATTATTTATAACTTTTAAAAAATTGTGAACTATAGTTAAGCATAATAATTCTTCTATATTTTATGAAATAATAATTTTGGGATACTTCAACTTTGAGCCGATAACCGATCTGAACTTCGGTAGCCTATCGACTTCCGATACCTAAACAAAGTAACTCTGAAGACGACGCGGATCACAACTTTCTGAAATTATATTTTAAATGATTTAAAATAAAAGTCTTTTGAAACTTGGAGCATTAAAGATACGCAGAAGAGTCGGATATTAGATCTGAGTGAATATCATCTAATTCAATATAAGTGCATAGTTTATAAATCCAAAATGATGCCAATTACCAGGACGCAGGTATGTACATATGTATGTACGTATATAACTGTTAATGTTTATTACATGCTTACATGAGTATATTAATTAGTTGTAGTTTAAGTGTAGAAAGGATCTATTAAACCTGCTTCAAATGGAGTTCACCCGGGTGCATTAGAAGAAACCTGGTTTGGCAGGTAGTATAGATCTGCTCCAAGAAGGAGTACATGTGTAAACTGCATCCTCATGTAATTATTAGAAGGTACCAGCAGAAAGGATTATATTAACTTTTAAATAAGCTAATTATGTTATTATACCAAGTTATCTTTAAGAAATGCGTCATGAACATATTATTTAAGTCTTAGGAAAGACACTTTCCTTTCAGAGGGTGTTATTTATGTAATAGTATGTCTACTATTAGGACTGCATTAAGCACAACAGTTTCAAGCTAGTTTAAAATAAAAACAACAGATTTAAAGTAGCCAAATAAACGCTTATGTTTTGCAAAATACTGTTTCAGTTGCCAGATCAAAATAAAAATATGATATCAAGGACCTTCAAGCTCACAGGACTTTCCCTAGATCATAGCAACCATATTTGCTTTAAGTACTTAATGTAGCTCTTTGAATTGATGTAGATTTGACAAGACTATATGGTTTTATAGCACATAAGCGTTCACTGTCGCAGAGTATTTCAGAATTCGGTTTTCAAGTCGGGGCCACCTTTCTTGTAAGACATAACAAACTACATTCCGCGCCGTATCGACCGACGAGCCCGCTCTTCCTTCCTTCGAATGGGTGTTTTATAATGTATGTGGATGTGGATATGGATGGAGGCGAAAGCGAGGTGTTCCGAATAGGGTTGAAGTCAAACATATGTAAGGATGATTGACAGCTAATGGAAACAAAAGCAATTCGAATACGTGTGTGCATGTGTAAGATGCAAATGATTTGCAAAACAAGGTAGGAAGGCAAGTTAACCATTGCGGACCTATTTTCGACCTGTAATCGAATTAATCGGCGTCTATTTATGTATTTACAACCTGTAGTTTGTTTTCGAGCTGCAATTATCTAGGGAAACAAATAGATTAGATGTTAGTTACGTATCTTCCATGTGTCAGTTGGAACTGCGAAAAGAACACTGTTATGGCTTCACGACGGAGATAATAATTATTGTTTCTTACACATTCTTCCAATGGGAAACTAAAATACAGAGACTCTACGGAGTGCTACACATCTAAATTTGACAAACCTTCGTATTTGTGTAGTTTAAACAATACGATTAATACGATTATGGGCAGTTCTTTATTGACTTTAGAGATCTTCTAAACTCAACTGGTTACAATACGGTTTTGTTTAAATAAGATGAGTACACAAGTAAATAACATAAGATTACAATAATAGGACCACTAGTGAGTATGTTTTAGACATAGCATGCTTTAACTCTAGTTTAACTATAACATTTCTTGAATCAAAAGACGGGCAACGGGCCGTTATGAAAAAGCGGCGGGGTTTTCTGGTAGCAAGGTATGTTGCCATATTGGCCGTTGTAGAAAAAACTTGGCAAGTACAAGTGATACTGCGCGGCGAGTTCGTTGAAATTGAATGGCAAGTTGAACGGCGGCTTTTCCAATGCGACGGCATCGGGACCGCCGTACTCCATGGCCACTAATCCCTCACTGGGCGCACTCGCCGGTTCCGGAGCCATGAGACTCTCGATGGTGAAGGCACGCTTTGGCCGCACCGGAAGTTGGGTCACAGTCGACGGTAGGATCGGCGGAGTAGCCTTGAAGGGCGACATTTGAGCAGCAGCAGTTGCATGGCCGAGCACATGACCATGCCGCACTGGATCGGCCAAAGCCATCTGCGTTAGCTGGTCGTCCAGGTAGTGGGTCACCATCTCTGTATTGGCGGCGGCTAATTTCCAGTTTGATATATCCTTCTCGAGCTGCTTGACACGGAAACGCTTTCGCCGCCGCAGCAGGCTGCCATTCTCGAACATATCGAAGGCCATGGGATGGAGGGTCCAGTAGGATCCCTTGCCGGCCTTGGTCACGTTCCGTGGCACCTTGATGAAGCAATCGTTGAAGCTCAGATTGTGACGCAATGAGTTTTGCCATTTTTGCGTATTCTTCCGGTAGTAGGGGAACTGATCCATTATAAATCGATATATCTCACTGAGCGGCAGCAGTCTTTGCGGCGAGTGTATTATGGCCATGGCCGTTAATGATATGTACGAGTATGGGGGCTTCTGATCACCGTAGGTCATTTTCAATGGGCGTGGCATTGCAGAGTCGCTTTTAAAATCGTTCACACAATCGTTTTCCCCGTCCGCACCGAATAATTCCCTATTGTTTTGTTGTACTTCAGAGTATTTCAGAGCGATGTTTTCTCGGCGACAGCAGCGTTCAGACTAATACGAGGGGCAGCAAAACTTCATGTTTTATGGAGCTGGCTGCTCGCAAAGAGCAAGACCGGATCGGAGCGGAGAGCTGGGCTCTCGCACACATGCCCACCCGGTGGTGGTATATCCAGTATACAGTATACAGTATCCACTATCCAGAGTGCCGAGGGAGAAGGCATTGTTGTCCAAAACAGGTCTCGGATCTGGTTGTCCTTGTCTGAGTGGCGTGCCAATGGGAATCGAAGGTGTTGTTTACGGCGAATTTCGAAATGGGTTGCCCGGCCAGTTTGGACCAATCATCGCGGATGCAATTACCCACACAATATAGCCTAACACCAGGAGCAGTGTGGCGGAAAAGCGTTTTGTTCCAGCGACAAGGCAACAAGGCAACGAGGCCCCATTTTTTCCCTTCGCCATTTTCAATTTTCGGAGAGATAGCATGTGATTCACATGTGAATGTGAATTGTGCTGCAAAAGCACAATTGCTAGGGGGAAAGCCCTTGATTTGCAAGCTTTTGTCAATACCTGTTTATTTTATATGAATTGTGGGCGGGCCAGAACATGAAATAATAAAGGAAACGCTCGTATTTCACTTCCCATCGCATTACTCCGCTTCAGAAAATGATTTAAATTGTTTTGGCTTTTGCATGAAATTGAAAAATAAATTATGAGCACCAGCGTATTTGCATTATGTTGTACGTTTACCAGCTTTAGTTGAATATATCCGTACAAATAAATTAAAGTGCTTTCCTTTTGCCGGCTATCTAGAGATAATCTCTGCTCTCTATACTTAAATTTGGTAATTATAGGTATCAGTTAGTACAAATTTTAAGCTATAGCGTTTTTAATATGACTGTTAGTAAAATCAAAATACATTTCTTATTTTAATAAGGAATATTTATTTCTGTCCCTATTCTGCAATGCATCTTGTCATGGGCAATATTAGGCAGATTTATTGAATAATGTTTAATTTATAGTTCAACACAAATAGCGTACTCGTTTTGATCATCAACATTAAAAGATACTCCTTTTAATAATCAACATCCTAGTTTTTATACATATTTTTCATACTGTTTTACGTTTATTGGTATGATAGGCTTTAACCAGCAATTGTTCGGTTGATATGTTACTAACTAATTTTGATTTTTTTAAATCATCTTAAACATTTTAGTCATGCTCTTGAAAGCCATATATTTACACACATATAATATTATTTATTCATTTGATTTAGGAGTTACTGTTTTAAGCAGCAGTTGGATGATTTTTGCACAGCTTATAAAAACACACTAAATTACCTAAAAATATATTGTTAAATCCATATGTTGCATTCATTACTCCTTACACGGAATGTCCGCAGTCGTATGGATGCCAAAAAATACAAATCACAAAAACATTCGTTTTAAAGCTGTTGCAGTCTTCTTCAGTTTAATGATCCCCTTCATTTCCTGGAGTGTTTTTACCATAATTGCGTGGAATAATTACCATAATTAATGGGGCAGTATATGCAAAAACACAAGGCTTTTGATACATATTAATATAATAGTAGTTGATATATTTTACCCAATTAGTTTGTTATAAGATGTACTTCAATAATTGGTCAGTTTGTCAATAGTTTAAATCGTTCAAGTTATTCTGTTGAATCGGAAAATATAAAATTTAAAAGCAGTGATGAGATTAAGATGAAGATTAAGCTAAGCTCCAAGGTAAGAAAATAGCTAAGAAAAAGCTAAGCTAAGAAAAATATCAAATGCACCAACTTCATGGAAAGCATAATACATAATTACATTTATCATTTCTTCAACTGTCCAAAGAAACACCATGCTATTTACCCAACGAGCAATAATGAATAAAGCAATAAATAACACTAATTTAGAAGCAACGCTCTACTAACTCAAAGATCCCTCCAGACTGCCAATGAGATAATTGAGGTGTGAGCAGAAAGTAAGTAGGGGTCTTCTTTTTATTCACTCGCTAATTAACGAACCTGGTGTCTAGTTTCCTTAGTTAATCCCAGCGTTTAGGTGTGCATTGAAGTAATCTGTATGCATTAAGGTACGCAATTAAGTATTTAAAGCATCGAAATAAAATATTGCTTGTTTTAAATCAAATATCCATATTATTGATCGAAACTGCAATCCATTATAAAAACGAATTTAGGATAAGTCAAGGCTGTCCATGCTATAAGTATATTTATTGTTTTCTGGGGAAAATGCCGGAAGGGGTGTGTGCAATTATTAAAAAAAGAGCAGATCTAAATGCATTTTGGAAATGATAATGACTTTTTATTGATCTTCATCACGTTGGAGCGGTGAAAACTCGAGCCGAACACGATCCTTGTGGTCGTTTTAGTGTCAAAGATGCCAGCATTCGAGTCGACAGATGGCCGAGATCGGCCGTTAAGGCCAAGTGAAAAAGTGTTCTGTGCCATTAACGCGAAGAGCTGTTGAAATCGTTGTATGTGCCATGTATCAGCCTTTCAGTCAAAACAACTACTCGGTAATCACCAATCGATAAGTTTTTCTCCTCTTTTCCATTTTGCTGTCGACTCTTTTTTAGCACACCGAAATTCGCAGCGCTGAGATGAAAGCTGCTGCTCGACCCATAAACTAAATCAATTTAGTTATTTCCGTCCTACGGGCTGCTCACCTCGTTAATGAAGATTAGCGCTGATGAAGATCGGAGTTCGCAATGGAGTCTCGTAGAGAGTGGGCTATAATGCGATTCCAAAGTGGCAGTAATGCTATCTACCTACCACTCGCAATGAAATACTCGATGGGCATGCAGCATGTTACGTATGTAAATGTGCGGATAATTCCCACCAAATAACATATTTAACCATATTATATCGATTTAGGGCACTGTACGTCCCAAAAACAAAGTTCCCGAAAAGTGCGAAGACAAGATCTCTGTTGGTGTCGGGATAATAACCGTCAGTATTTATTTTTCCTATGTGTTGGGATTTTGTCTGCTTTGTATTGCTTTATACTCGCCAGGAATAAATGTTTGAACACAACAGGCCGCCAATTTATTGAAGGCTAACACACTAATTTGAGGAGTTGAGTTGTGTTTACCCCGAGGATGTCTGCTTGTATCGCCCGGCTTGTATGCATGTATATCCGAGTGAATCTTCCCGACAAAGCTTAAGTGCAGTGTTCATGCTTCTACCTGCAATATGGGAAAGCTGAGGAATCCTGCCCGGTTGGAATTTTGCTGCCATCTAGCTCGCTGTTTTATGTCCGCTCATTTGTTTTATTGGGCTGAAACTCATTTTATGCGGCTCATATAAGATATTGGTTCTAAAACCATTTAGATTTCTCATTACATGCGGTTTATATAAGATATAGGTTCTAAAACCATTTAGATTTCGAAGTTCACTGGAACAATAGATCGTAACTATATTGGTATGTTCAAAAAGTCCTATATCCTGTGCACTTGTACGGAATTATATTTAGTTAAGTACTTGATAAACATTGTTATATAATGTGAGTGAAATTATTATTTGAATGGAAAAAAAGTCAGTTAAGCTTGTGTAATGATTTAAAAGTAAAGACCTAGATATTAGTAGCTTGAAATTTCTTACCTTCTGCATATTTATGATCAAAAGAAGTACCAAAAGCTGATGAAATTAACATTTTTTCCTCCAGATAATGAACGTAAAAACAGTCGAGAGATCCCATGGATAGTGCAGCCAGCAGCCCAGAGGCGGATTCGGATTTCCTACTGCCCCTATTAAATGGGCATCGGTCGGCTCAATCGTTAGTGTCGACGAGGTGAGAATGAACATCGTCAGCTCCTTCGCCTGGCTTATATCATTCACACAACACCCATCGCAGCGCATTTAAATCATAACCTTATTCATGACAGAGAGGCCTGAATGTTCCTGGATGATGCTGCACACTGGATATGGAGCTGGGTAAATGATTAGGTCGCCTGGCAGGCCAGAGATTCCTGATTCCCGATGCCCGATGCCCGATGCCCGACTGCTGAAGCTAAAGCGCTGAATCGAAATCAAATTAAACTCGGTGGTGTTTGGTGTTTCTCCCAGTTGCGTGGATGTGGACTGGACGAGCGGAGGACTGGACGATGACGATGAAGGAGGAGGAACGCATTGTATATTTTGCAATTTGAACAGCCGCTAGTTGCCGGCACACAGACGTTTATAATTCGCAGAGGTGTGCGTGGTGGTGTGGTAAGTATAATAAGAGGTGTGCTCAGACATCAGGCTAACAAACAGGCCGCGCACAAGCAGCCACAGTAAAAATCACTTCGATGGAAGCCATAATGGCCCGGGCTCGAGCTCCTTTCTACGAACCGAGAAACTGAGATCTGACTACCAATTTAAAAATGCCGCTTTTGACTTGCGAGACAGAGTGGCGGTGCGGTATTCTTATACCAGCCTCTTCTGCCGGTCTTTTCCTCCTTTTGGCCCGACTCCCGGTCCTCTTTCGATCAAGAAATACCTTTAGATGGTGATGCTGCGATGGTCGGTTGGTCGGTTCGTCGTTTCCTTGGTCTTTGGTAGGCTGGTGATTTTCGCACAGTTCGTGCTTAAATACAAAGTAAGCTGTTAGAACCATTTGCTTTTCGGCCCCATCTTTGCACCTACCATTCGCTCGATTTAGTTAATACAATTTTATAATAACCAGCATAATATGGGGTTTAGGCCAACGTAACTCAGTCCTCAGTCTGCACTGCTGTCTGTCATCAAAGCTTTGCTTCTAATCGATCCGCATCTGTATCTGCATTTGCATCTGCATCTGCATCTGGTATCTAACATCAACAATTATTCGCCTATTTTGGTAGCGCTCAATCGGTAGAGGGTATCTGCAAATTGGGCAACACTTGCCGGGCCACTTAAAAACCCTTTTCAATTTTTTAAGTATAAATATGGTTAATCAGCATCAACACCCGAGCCGAGCTCGAGTGCAAACTAGTCTGTGTGTGAAACTAGTTTTCGGTGTTGAAGCTACTTAGCCGCTGCGATGCCTTGCCCACCTCAACTCGTGTGTCTTGTGCTCCGTGCTCTGCTCCACTGACGGATAAGTCGGAGCCGCAGGGGCCAGATACTTCAACATATGCCTGCACCGAGTCTTAAGATCGATCGCATGGGAACTTCAGACGATCAAAGCGGGCTGGGGATTGCTCTAATAAAGTCAGATAAAGCCTACTTTGCACATTTTCATCATGCCGCATCGGATGATCGGCGGATGTTGGGCGAAATTGGAGCTTTATAAACACTTTGGCTAACTGATGCTGAATGCATTTCAACTACTCAGCGTACAATTTGAAATTATTCAATTGAATTGTTTTATTAGGCGTAGCCGTCGAAAACTTGCCTTGAAACGCTTGAGTCGTGCAAAACATTTTATTGCCTAATAATTCAAAATTGTACAAATAACTTGGCTACTTGCAACTCTTTGTAAAAAAAAAAAATGGCAAATAATGCTGCATCCAAATTGCCTCAATCAAGTGGACACGTGACACTTGTGGTAATAAATACAATGGCGATGGGCAAATTGCCCAACTGCTATTGCGGCTCATTAGCTTTCTGTGGCAAGTGGGTGCCATAAAACCGATTCTGGCCACAAGATGTTTGCCAATTCCGACGGCAACCCCATCGGAAGGTATTCAGCTCAGCATCCCCTATCGTAAAGACCAAAGTCATTTTGTTAATGCTGGCCTACAACACCATGACGATCCTTTTAGGAAGTGATGTTTTACGCTCCGTGTTGATTTATTGTATCATTACTGTTTATGAGTTCGTGCCCCTTTTCCCACGCGATGACTTTGCAGCCTCCTTGTGTATTTGTACGTGTATGTTCGTTTAATGAAATCAAAATCAGGTCTAATAAATTATATATTCGTTATATTGCCCAAATAGTTAAACTCGCTTGCTGAGATAAACGGAAAAATGAAGTGTTTTGTAGCTCAAAAGAAAATCCATAGCCTCTGGCCGCCCAAGTGAGCATTTCTTTTGAAGTTCCAGCGCTCTTTTATAATTATGCCTTCACCCTTTTATTTACAGATACAAATTAATATCCGCTTAACTGCTACAAATATCATTAGCCATCTTGTGCACACAAAAGCAAACGTAACAACACTAATTTGAATCGACCGAAATACAGATGGGCTCGTGACAAAGTACCGATTACTATTCGTTCCGATCACTCTAAGTATTCACAACCTTTGAAATGCGCCTTTGATGTGCCGGCAATAACAAAAAACATGATGGTTTTGTTAATGGATTTCTATAAAGGCTTCCGACTGCTAAGAGAGCCGACTGGTAGAACACCCGTGGCGATAATTTAAAGCCACTGTCTAAGCCAGCATACCTTTTTATACCCTTGCGTGGGGCATGCTTGTTTTGGCCAACAGACTGCAGTCGCCACTAGAGAAGTCACTTGGACTCCATGGAGCTTGTGACCTGATCTGGATTAGCTTTGAATACCCTTTTTCAGTTCCAAAGGTTTCAGTTCAGCTGAGTTGGCCGACTTGTCTTTATATGAACATTATTGCTATATATCTTGAGCACTTGTTACCATAAGAACACGTGAAAGATGTCTTTTATGTGGAAGATATCCTTAATAGCAGTTAAGATTTTAAAAAGGTTTAGTTGTCTGCATAAACTGCATAAGTATGTATGCATAAGTCGTTCTGAAAGCAAATTAAGTGTATCGAATTTTATAATTTCAACACAGACCCTTCATCGTACCTGTAATTTTATTCTGCCCTGATCTCTGAAAGCTGTTTACCGATCTTCTTTTGGAGGCAACAGCGATTATGCAAATGAATCTGCTCTGGCTCCAAACTACAAAGGATTATGAACACAACTTTTGCCACGCCATAAAGTAAACATCCGATGGAAAAATCGAAAATCAAAGATAATCGGTATAGTAGGCTATAGAAACAAATCAATTCAACTTGACCAATGCGGCTTGTTTCTCAGCTATAAAAATAGTTGGGTGAACTTTTAAACTAACATTTTTTTTATATCCTATCAGAGGGTATATTTATTTCAGTTAAAACTGTGCAACGCAGAAAGGAAACATTTGCGAAATAGCTATGAATATGTTCTTCTGTCCGTCCGTTTCAAGGCGAACTAGTATTTCAATTATAAATATATAACTTTTTTGTATATGCCAGTTTTTTAACAATATACAATTTTTCTATAAATTTAAGCAAAGTTTTTTTGCTGCAAGGGTATATCGCTATTATTATTTTTTAGCTTCGTTTAATATTTAGCTGGACAACTGCAATCGGAATATAAATTTCATTCTGCATCTTAAAAACATTTTAAAACTAACACAGAAACTTTGTGGAGTTTTGTATTTTCTGAAAGCTTTGTTTTTGTGTTCATTTATCGGCTCTGTTAAAAAATGTTTGCCTACCCTATGGCGTCTCCGTTGAAAAATTAAATATCATTTATACAACTATATTTTTCTGCATTTACGCCTTTAAAACGTACATTGGGTAACAGAAGTAATTAGAAATCTAATGAAAAATTAATCATTTAACTGCGTTCTTTTAATTATTTGTTGGCATGCCAATAATTTCGGTGTGGCTGTCTTAATATAAGTAGCAACTATTTTTAAAAGGCATCGCCCATTTTAAAATAAGAATAAGACATATATTGATGAGATCGACAGTAATAGTACCTCGTTATGTTTGAAGTGAATTTTAATTTCCTCTGAATATTATTGATTTACTAAACTCAAAATATGGTTCAGTGCTTAATTTTTAATTTCACGGTAAATATTTAGGTAAATAATAATGACAGAACCAAGAAGCCATTTATGGAACTGAACCATATTGTTAGGATTGTAACTAATTATTACAGCATAATTATTCTCGCAGCTGGAGTTGAAAATACAGATTAGACTACACCTTTCATGTGGCCGCTAATTCTCCTTCTCCACTAATTTCACTTAAGCAAATATAATTAAATCGGGCAAACCGCTGGTTGGTGTTTTCCGACGGCCCGGTACCACCATAAAAATTCGTTTTTGTTTAATGGACCGAGATACAATATACGAAGCTTTTGCACCATTTGAAAAAGGCGGCACTCATCTTACAAGAAAATTGTTCAATTTAAAGACTGACTTGAAAATTAATCAGACTAGCGGATTTTACTTGGTTTGTGAAAACAATAGGTTCTAAAATATTTCCTAACTTTGTTTTCAGTTAATCTGCATTATTAATAAGCAATACAAAATTGGGCCCAAAATATTTGTGCTGCTGCCAGTTGCCAATAACTTTTATAAACTTACCTTATTTCAAGCCAATTTTCCCATTAGTAATTTGATTTTATGCACGCATGGTAATCGAGCTTCGAAAATTGTTTGATTACTTAGTGTCTCGCTTAACTAATTCATGTAAATATGTACTTATTATTCGCTAAAGCTTAAACTTGCGACACGCAAGTAATAAATTCCTTGTAAATGTGTTAATTTTCAAAAGATGCAGATAAAACAAATTGCCAGCGTCATAATCGTATTACCATACTTCTTGAATGCCATTTTTTGTGTGAATGAAATGAATGTTTTCCAATTCCTAATGTATTTTATTACACCATTGTCGGATGTTTCATAATATCTTCATTGGAAATCATATAATTTATTTTGAAAAACAAAAAAGTTGCCCGCTTTTCATTCCCCTAAATCTTTATGTATGTAGAACGATGGCAGGACGGAGGGTAAATAATATCTGCTTATAATACCCGCTACTCGTAGATTAAAAGGGTATACTAGATTCGTTGAAAAGTATGTAGCAGGCAAAAGGAAGCGTTTCCGACCATAAAAAGAATATATATTTTTGATCAGGATCAATAGCCGAGTCGAACTGGCCATGTCCGTCCGTCAGTCCGGATGAACGCCTCGATCTCAGGAGCTACAAAAGCTAGAATGTTGAGATTAAGCATGCAGCTTCCAGAGACATAGACACAGTTTATTTCCAAATGTTGCCACGCCCACAAACCGCACAAAACTGCCACGGCCTCATCTTCTGTAAATGTTTGTAATACTTTTTTAATAGTCTTGTAAATTTCTATCGATTGGCCGAAAAACTTTTGCCCATGCTTGTAATTTGTTGGTAATTTTTCTGAAGTAGAATTTTTCTGAAGTAGAATTCAAAAAAATTAAGAAATGTCCGAATGCTGAAGTTCTAAACTCCATAACTCAACTTATCTT